TGAAGAACAAGTTTATAATTTATAATTAATTAAAAAAATTATTTATGGTGTGTTTGGTTACATGGAATTAAAACCTTAGAATTTGCGCAATTTTACAAAAATAACTAAAAAAATTGAACTAAATTTTTATCAAATTTCACCTTTTCTCGAATCATATCATTTTTTCTTTTTTTTTTTCACAAATTGAAATCTAGTTTAAATGACACGCAAATATAACGGTGATATTTCCGATTTTTGCCATTTTTCATATTTTTTTTAATTTTCTGTTTTTGCAAAGACATTTTTGTCTTTTTCTCGTTTTGCATGTTGGACACCGTAGGACGTGCCGGGTGTGTTCGAGAGTTGATTGGGGTATTTCTTTGAGTTCAGGACTCCTAGAAATGCAATGGTTGTCATTTTTGCATTTTTCCGTTTTTCGGACCAGACAGTCTCGTGTGGGACCTGTTACCAGAGTTGTTGTGTACGAAAATTGTGTCTCGGGTCATTTACATGCCATGCATTATTATTTTGTGTCTAAATAAATTGTTTAAGTGCTAAATTGTGTGGCCAAGGAATATATATATGTGTGTGTGTGTGTGTGTGTGTATATATATATATATATATATATATATATATATATATATATATATATATATAGACCACAAAAATAATTAGTGGGAAGTGGGTCCCACCACAAAAATTAAAATCCCACATTTTCTTTTTCTTTTTAATTATTTTGCCATCATACATACATACATACATACATATATATGATGGCAAAATAATTAAAAAGAAAAAGAAAATGTGGGATTTTAATTTTTGTGGTGGGACCCACTTCCCACTAATTATTTTGTGGTCTAGAGACCACATTTTTGGGCCTCTTATTCTCTTTCCCCGGCTGAATCACTCTCTTCCTCATTTTCCTTTTCTTTTTCATTTTAAGCTTCAAATCTTGATTAACCTCTCAATTCTTGGAGTTTTTGGGAGCTGTTTGCGGCAAAACGGAAAGCACGGCGAGATCTACGTGTGAGTACAAGCAATTTCAGTTTTGGCCTCCCGTAGGATTTCGAATTTTGAGATCTTTTTTGAGGGTTTTTCTCAAAATTGAGGTAGGGGTATTCTAATACATAAAATTCTTGAGCTTTTGTGAGTTTTCTTATTTAATTTGATGTTAAGCATGCTCAATTTGTATAATCTCTTGTAAAACTAGTTAAATGTCGGTTATGGAACACATGACTACTTGTTACTTATTGTGTAGTGATTATATATATACTTATGTGAAATTAAATTTATGTTTTAAATGCTTACCATGTTAAATTAATGTTGATTGAAAGTATGAGTTATGTGTTTTAGAAAAATTATGTTGGATAGTATGTGTGAAATTTTAAAATTTTATTGTTGAATTGATGATTTGAAACATAGAGCATTCTTGCATTCACTGAGAAGAGAAATGGAAAAAGTGTTTTCAAAACAAAGGAAATTAAATTTTGGGAAAATATTTTCTAAAAGCGTTTGTGAAAACCCGGACGCCTAGGAGGCGCCTAATGATCCATGGTATTAGTGTGATTTAGAGGGGGATTAGAGAGACTCTAGTGTGGTTGAGCTACCCAGACGATGCCATGAAGGTACCATGTGGTCAGGAAAAAACTAGCCAACCCATCCCTCGTGACGCTTTGGAAGGGCCTTGGATCGGATTACACTAACGGTTTGGATGTTGAAAGGGAAATGTTTCAGAAATGGGGAGCGACATGAGCATGGCATTGTACTTCATTGGCATACATGGCGTGTTTTTGAATTGGATGGCATATGTGTTTATATGGGATGTTGTGGTTATGGTATACATCCCCCGTATAATATGATCCTGTTCTCTTATTTTCTATTCTATACGTGGATTCACAGGGTCATAAGAAGTGTGTCTTAGACACTTCCTACTGAGCTTATTGTCACGATCCGATTCCTAACGACACCATGAGCATAGAAAATACGCATGCTGGTTGGCTAAGAACATTCATTGACTGGGAATGGTTCCAGGGAAGGGGCGTGCGGGACCACAGGATGGTACCTCTTCAGAGTTCAGGCAGGTCGACTCGGTTCAGTTCGAGGTGCTTGTCGCTAGTCTTGGACTTGACTATGAAGAAGGGAGTTGGCCATCCCTGCACAAACTGGTCGGGAGCTGGAGCCGTTCCCCTGATGAGGCCATGGCAGGCCGAAACCAGTCAGCATGTATCCTTGGGAGGGCAGGTCGTGGTGGCTGACCAGGGCGCTTGCGCGAGCTGAAGCAACGCCTTGGTGCCGCACGGGCCGTGCCGCTGCGCCAAATCTCTAGGCCCGTGACAAATGGTATCAGAGCAGGACTTGGGGAAAAGCACAAAGGTGTGCCCCCTTGTCGATCCGGGGGTCTTGAGAATGAAGACGGTGCACTAAAGCGTCGGTGGGCAATCAATGCTGTTGGAGGAGAGCCTCCATCTCCCCATGAAGACGCGTCCTTTAAGCCGGAGGGCCGCGCGCATCGAATGGCCGGAGGGCCGCGCGCACCAAAGTTCTTGCAAGTTCAAGAGGCGTGCAAACCGTTGTGAAGGGCGGGTATCAAGTCAGCCGGAGGGCGCTTGTTTGCTCGGGGTGTCGCGGAGGCGGTATAACGTGGGGTTGCGTCCCGAAGAAGTGGGCGTCCCTTTAGCCCGAAACCCTATCATTGGGCGAGTGCAGCCAGGGGTTGTACAAGGAAGCGATGGTGGGCAGGCGAGCATACCACTTGGAGGAGACAGGCTTTGGAATGTTGGACGCAGCGGAGTCAGCGCCGCACTGCAACGAGGGCGTCGCAGGATTTGGGTGGGGGAGAATGTCACGATCCGATTCCTAACGACGCCATGAGCATAGAAGAGATGCATGCTGGTTGGCTAAGAACATTCATTGACTGGGAATGGTTCCAGGGAAGGGGCGTGCAGGACCACAGGATGGTACCTCTTCAGAGTTCAGGCAGGTCGACTCGGTTCAGTTCGAGGTGCTTGTCGCTAGTCTTGGACTTGACTATGAAGAAGGGAGTTGGCCATCCCTGCACAAACTGGTCGGGAGCTGGAGCCGTTCCCCTGACGAGGCCATGGCAAGCCGAAACCAGTCAGCATGTATCCTTGGGAGGGCAGGTCGTGGTGGCTGACCAGGGCGCTTGCGCGAGCTGAAGCAACGCCTTGGTGCCGCACGGGCCGTGCCGCTGCGCCAAATCTCTAAGCCCGTGACATTATGCTCACCCCTTTATTATTAACATTTTTCAAGACAAGGAAACGAGGTGGCGGACGACGATCCACCATAAATTTAGACGAGATTGGATACCTATTTTATTTTGCTATCTTTTGTATTAGAAGTCTAATATTTTATAAATGTAATCTTAACTATTTTGTGAGATTTTAATTTAATATGTGTAATGTTGTAAGTTATGGACTTTAAAATTTTAGCTATATTTTATGAACTGTAACTTGATGTAACTAAAGTGTGTTCCTTGTTTGGAGGATATGATAGATTAGTTTTAAGCCTAGTGAGACCATTGCATTTTTTTATGTTTTTTAACAGATTGTAGTAAGACTTTTTCTGCGGAGGTCATGCCGAAATTTTTTATATTTTATTATTACTATTTTGGGTTTTTTTTTTTTTTGAGCCGTTACAATAATTGAATCTATCTGTGATTCCGATAAAATGGGAATATATAGATCACAAAAGTTTGAATTCAAAATAGTCGGGTGGACTTTTCATCATATGTTCTGTCCCTTCATATTGAAGGAAGCTGGTTACTTAAAAAAACCTTATGCCCGTATCTAATATTCTAATTTCATAGTATATTCAGTTTATTCCTATGATATATATATATAGATATATATATATATATGTGGACTTTTCATTATATGTTCGGTCCCTTCGTATTGAAGGAAGCTGGTTACTTAGAAAAACCTTACGCCCTTTTCTAATATTCTAATTTCATAGTATATTCATTTTACTCCTATGATATATATATATATATGTGTGTGTGTGGACTTTTCATCATATATATGTTCAGTCCCTTCGTATTGAAGGAAGCTGGTTACTTAGAAAAGCCTTACGCCCATATCTAATATTCTAATTTCATAGTATATTCATTTTACTCCTATGATTGATATATATATATATATATATATATATATATATATATATATCTCGGTGTGAATGATGTTTAGACCAATTTAATGATTTGGCTTGGTGGTGCCTTATATATATATATATATATATCTCGGTGTGAATGATGTTTAGACCAATTTAATGATTTGGCTTGGTGGTGCCTCACCGGAAGTTTGCATGATCTTAAAATCTCTGTCCTCTGTCACCAACAAAGACAATGGAAATGATGTCTGTCACGAGAGGACCATGGCGCTTACTTCTTGGCCTACTTATGGTCATCGTGCTCATCCATATGGTTAAGAAGGTATGCTATAATACATTTGATTCTTTTACTAGAGGACTCCCCCATGATGAATGAAGTAGAAAAGGAGTAATTATTTTAGTTAGATACCCCTCGTATAGAAATAAAATATATATATGAAGTAGAAAAGGAGATAGAAATAAAATATATATATGAAGTAGAAAAGGTACGAGGGGTATCTAACTAAAATAATTATATATATATATATATTTTAACCCCCATTTAATATCATGAAGGAATAGTGCACAAAATTAAAAGAAATCAATTCTGATGTTTTATTAATGAATAATACTCCTTTTCTACTTCATATATATATTTTATTTCTATACGAGGGGTATCTAACTAAAATAATTATATATATATATATATATATATATATATATATATTAACCCCCATTTAATATCATGAAGGAATAGTGCACAAAATTAAAAGAAATCAATTCTGATGTTTTATTAATGAATAATAAATTGTGTTTATACATTAGATAAATCCTATAAACAAAATGAATCCTAAAATAAGTCCAAAACTAAACTATCTTTTAGAGTAATAAATAATTAATAAAAAGAAAATAAAACCTAATCCACTAAACTAAGATAAATATTAGAAATCAAAATAATTTGAATTCGATTACACCTCCAACAAAAATCATGAAATATTTTATCATCTTTCTATAAGATAAAAAATCGTGATTTCCAGGCCCCAAACGATCGAATTTGACTGAAAAACACCATGGCCCCTATTAGGTTTTAATTGGGAAGGGTCTTCCAGAGTCGAAATGAAATTATCTGTAGAAGGAAGAAGCCGATAAACTATCCATCATCATCTATCTCCTTATTCAAGGTATGTAGAAGATGCAAACTTGAACAAGATCATAATCAGAAAAACAAAATTGGACCAAAAAGAAAGCTCAATTCAGTGGCTCCCTCGCTTAATGTGGGGAAGCTTTTCCCTCCCTAAATATGAGTACATATATATATGGACCCCTCGGGTAGGATGATCAGTGTGGTTGCTATGTTGTTTTGAGCGTAAGATCTTCAGGATAAGATCCACATGTAGACTGTCGACCAAACAGTGAGAGCTAGAGAAGCTACCAGGTAAGTCCACAAAATGAGGACCGAACACTCGTCTTGCCCCACATCGAACAGTTGTGAAATGGTGCCTGCATTATCATTCATTCTCATCATAATTAGTTTGTATAAGGTAATTAAAGTTAAAACACATTGTATTAGTGATGATATAGAGCTCAAACATTACAAGTACTAAATACGCATAATATTAAATGGACAGTCCTAATTTAACTTCACTTCTGGTTATATTTCTCAATACCATCGGAATTATAGTCAGTCAAGAAAATGCAAGGATGGCGCAAAAGCAACAAAAGTCTTGCCAGAAGTAGGTTCATTTTTTTCCCAATTATAAGGACCACGATAATACAATTAGAACCATATCAGATGTTCCAAAAATTTCTTACCAATAGCCATTGCAGGTGGCAATGTAAACTGAATCAGTAACAAAAAGTGGAACAATGGGTCTGCCGGAAGGAAGCCAAGCTTGGAGGCTGCTTTAACTACACCAATACCAATCACGGGAAGTATCAGGTATCGCACACAAATGACTGCAATGATGATCAATGGTTTCAATTTGACATCGCGTAGGCCTGTTCAGTCCAACACATAGCAATGCTTTGTTAGCTTTGCAGTTTTTCCGATACTTCATATTAGTACTAAAAAGGGCATCAAGAGCTCAGCTCTACCTACGAGGTTGCCTCCTAATATAAGGGTGATGCAAGGTATCGTTCCATCCCTGCACGAAAAGTTGTTCCATTGTCAGTTGGCTGCAAATGAAACTGTAAACGAGATGAGGCTGCGTGTGGTTACGGGTGGGGGGAGTATGGAATGATTTACAGGGCTATCACCAGAGTTCCATTTCAGGAAGTACTGTATATTGTAAAGTAGTTACACAAACAAAAATATATATATATTGACGGCTAAGATTAAATTTAAGTTATAAAATGGATGAGTTTCGATTGAATTATAATTGATCAGGAAGGAACATATTCAGCCAGAAATTAATCATTAACTGTTAATAATAAAAACACAACTACCCAAAAAAATAATTATAATAATAAACTACATACCCAAGTAATTTGCTACAGTCTTGGATCACTCTCAGAGGAGCTGTGTCACCAATTACAAGATTATGAAGCCATGGGATCGCCCCAAAGATGAATCCTACAATCTGATAATAGGTGGAAAAGCTTAGTATGATATTTACATCTATGATGTGAAATACTGAACTCTCCATACTCATATTAAGCAAAGAAATTAAGGTAAATTTTTTATGAGAACTCACCGCACCAAGGGTTGGAGGTTCCAACACCACGTCCAAAATCTGGTGAAGAACTCCATATATTTTGTTCCAGAATGATGCATTCCCTTTCTCCACCTTACTGGTAGACACTTGGGGTACAATCTGCAAATAAGGTAATTTTGAAAATTTCAAGAAATTATGTTGAATTATGTGTGGGCCACTCATAGGCCAGGTACTGAATACTCCTTTTTATTCTGGTTAATGATCGTACTTCCTTGGAAATTGAAGCAAACGGAACTTACAGTTTGATTTTCTGTATCCTCTTCAGTGGATTTCGTTGTTGGAACTAGTATAGCAACATGCTCTTGATTTCCCTTGAGAAGATGGGTCTTGGCATTAGCATCTAAATCCTCGTTGGGTACCATGGGGGCCACATTTGCTGCTTTTAGTGATTTGTATTTCAGGGATGAACTTCGCATTATTTGGTAAGTGTAAGTCCATACGAAGAAAGCACCAAGCTGCAAAAAATGAGAAAAAAACATTGATAAGAACATAGATCGAAAACAGATCAACTCAAAAAACATTTCATATGATACGGTAATATTGATCATGACATAGGAACAGAAAACATGAACTCCTTGAGACTCTACAGGCATTCCAACAAGGTTCTATCAGTCTCGGAACCATACAAAACTGTATGAAACAACTCCTACCGATAAGGATTTCTAGGATCCGTTGATGCTTATGTTTTGGTTCACAAAGTGACCCAATCATGATAAGGGTCAAACAGGAGACTATTAACTTTCGGATCCTCATGCATATAACCCATTTATTATGTCATGTGCTTTCGCATGATCAGTTACAGGATTTTGGTCTCGAAGCATATGAAATTGCCTTACCGCCATGGAGAAAGATGAGTACGAGAGTCCAGTGGAAGCACAAATAATATGATCACCAAATGGACTGCCATTCTCCTTACAAATTGCAGGCACCAGTATCAACAGCATGTTTCCCATGTTTCCTATAACAAACATTACAAACGGCATACAAATGAGAAAACAAAATTTATGCTGCATGCTGAGAAAGGGATGGAAGCAATCATCTATCATAATTACCTGTTGAACACATGGCAATGACCAGGCCTTCCAGATGCGGCTTTGGTTTCAGTATTTTCACTGCTATCCATCCTAGTACTCCCCCAACTAGAAAGGTTAGCCCGATATTAACAGGCATAAACCACCTGAATATAAGTTAAAAACAGAATAGTTTCAGCAGTATGCTTTAAAGTTAATAGCTTAGAAGCTAAGGCTGCATGTCCATTTGTTCTAATAACCACAAAGAAAATCCCTTGAGGATGCCTCAGAAACATGAAGCCCCAAATTTGTTGAAAACTATGTCTAAATGTGTGAGCCTCTCAATAGACAATAGACACATAGTTGACTTCTTGAACCTAGCTTTGCGTTTCATATGTGCCCTTGATTCATTAAATAGATAAAGACTAAAAATATAATTCCTTTCTTGCCTAACCATTGAACTTTTTTTCTTTCTTTTTGTCCTTTTCTTTTCAATGCATCATAGCATTACTCTAGAATTTTGTTTGCCATAAATATTAGTGACCAATGTTCCTCAAAGATCTTAACATCTGCCCTAGTCAAGCAGTTTTTTATTAGGAAATTGCATACAGAAAACTGAAATTACCATGCAGTATTTTGCTTTAATTTGTGTAATAGGAGTATAAACAACTAGGAAATGGAGCATCAGTATTATTTCGAATTGTTTCAGAATTTTACCATCTTTGAGTAACTTGTATATATGTATATCAGAATCAGTCCAACACCTCTGATTACCTTCCAAAAGTATATATCTGCAGTTCTGCACAGTATGTTTTTCAATTTTTTTTTTTTTTTTTTTTTTTTTTTTTTTTTTTTTAATACAGGAAACATCTTCCATGGATCACACTTATTAATTCCTAAACTTTATTTTATTAAAAAAATGGAAGTTAACACATCAAGAGGATGCGCAAAGAAAAAAGTACTACTATTTACATAGCCTACCATGAGATGATGTCTTCTATGGTGACAGTCTGAGCCAGACTTGAGTAAATGAGCGAGGGAGTAAACACCATGAACACAATCTGCGATTGCACTAAAAATTCTTAATATTACGAAGACTTATGAAAATGAAGAAAATCCAACAACGTTGTTAACAAAGCAGAACTATGCTTATATTTTCTGAAAATATAAGTGTTGATTTACATATACTCAGCATGTAAATGAAACATATTGCAGGACTTGCCTTGTTCAGGTACCTTCTTGCATCTGAGGGAAGAAGATTGAGATAATCAGTTGCCATGAAAGCTCCTAATACGGTTATTATCAGCACCTGCAGCATAGGCATAGAAGCCACCCCGAAGAGTGTCCAGAAACCCATCTTTTACACTCTTTTGGGAACCCTTGGTCCAAACTAACAGCAGATGGAGCTGCTTTCCTTCTCTGTACTCTGAATTTTTGTAATTGATGTACTGTCTATATCTACTCTGAATCTCCCTCTATCTATATATATGGTCCTAAAAGAATAGAAGGAAAATCCTGGGAAGCAGCACCAGACACAGACCAAAGAAATTTAAGTCATCAAAACAAATTTAAATACGTAAAAAGTGAAAAACAAGATTGCATGGCAGCAAAAGCTCATGTGATCTTTTATAATTAACAAAGTATACAAATAAGGTGTATGCCTTCAAATAAGAGAGGAAAGAACCACGAAAAGTACTTAGATTTGTCCACCATTTCAAATTCTCAAACTCAAAAAAGAGTAAAATGTGCCGGACTTTATTTCTTTTTAGATAATTTATTGATAGAGAAGAAGTGCTAATCACCTGATTCATTTATAAATTAAAATTGGGATTCATATGCTATCCCTATCCCAAAACTAACGTTATGCAAATCTGATCTACAGGGTGTAGACCAAAGCTATTATAAATGTTTTAGCTGTCGGATTTAATTATTATTTTAAATTTCCTTAGTGGGGTGGGGCATAGAAATGGTTAGGGTTTTTAACTGGGATGGGGATTGAGGTCATTTTAGAAATGGTTGTGGGGGCGGAGTCCGGGTGCCATCTCTTAAACGGAGACGGGGAAGGATCCCTCACCCCAAGCCTGTCCTGAATTCTTCCCGTTGCCATTCATCAGACATACGGAATTAGTAGAAAATTCCAAAAGTCTAACCACCAATATGAAAATCTAACTTGGGCCATATTTCATCTTATTCTTCTAGTTGAACTGAGTTGGTGGATTTGAATTAAACTAAAAATTCAAAATCAAATTAAAATTGAGTTAGACTTGAATTTTGAATTTTAGGATTGAATACAACTAGATTGTATCAATGACATAAATAGCGTGAAAAATAAATAAATAAATAAAATCCTAATTAATTCAAATCGGAGTGGCAAACAACTGGGACAGCCGGACAGGTAAATACTTACCAAATAAACAGGGACAGCTAAATAAAATAATATTTCTTGACAGAGAAAAAGTACATCACGTTACGGAATAATAACTTGCATAATACAAATATTTACCCAGAAAAACCAACGTGAATCAGGAACATGCCAAAACATTACTTTTACACATTTGGGTTCCGAGAGAGAGAATGTGTTAAATAATTTAAAAAGTGGACATATTAATAGAAAACAAAAAAAAAATAATGGGATAATTATTTAACCCAGATTTAATATACAGACTTCAGAATTAATGACGAAAGACGCGAAGAACCAACACAGAAGTACCAAAAGCAGATTGAAATCACTGAATAAAAAAGGACACGATTCCAAGCACATATATGCGTATATACAGATATATACATATGTGTATATATACACAACTTTTTACGGTTTTACCACCTACTGACGTTCGAATCAGAAAAAAAAAAAAAAAACGATTATACTAATTAGAACAATATAAATCACAGCAGGAAAAATAAAACCATTATTGATTAAGATCAAGAATGTTGGAGAAAGTTTAGCTCTAAATCAATTTGACAATTGAGCAAAATGCATACATATATGTATATAATATACACGTCGTATATAATAAGCGAATGAACCTGGAATCGAGTCTGGGTGGCGAGAATTGAGACCTAAAAATCATCGGCGTCCGACTAGAAAGAGAGAATCAATGGTGAGAGAGAAGAATGCATTGGGTCTCTACTGTACCATGTGTGTGGTACTACTCTCCGCCTCTATAAATAGAGCATTTCTGGAGTCGGGACCTGCATGCGTCTCCTGTTTGAGAGAGAGAATCATAGCTGCCTCCCCTACAACAAGACGAGGAGAGTGTTGGCACGCGCGAAGGAGGTAGTGTTCGGTGAGGGACATGTTTGAGTTTAATTCTACAATTGACAATTAGGTGTTTGTTAATTTTAACTAAATATTGGGCCAATTATTATTAATTGTAACTCAATTTGTGCACGACACTGATATGTTAGGCCCTTCTATATGCGGAGCAAATATTCTCTCAGATGTTACAAACTCACGCACCCATGCCTCTACAAAACAATGAAAATGGTCGCTTCCAAGTTCGTCGCCTTTCCTTTTAACTAAAAAAAAAAAAGTTCGTCGCCTTTCCATTCAATCAAAGAAACTGATCTAAAATTGAAATTCATAAATTTATTTTACTCTTAGGTAGTCTTGAATGCTTAACTTTCAATCACCAAATTATAATTTTTTGTGTCGATTCAATATTTTAGTGTCTCTAATGCAGAATTGGACAAGGGAATTACAACCTAGTGGTATCTCCTTAATTTTTAAAAGTAAATGGTGAGAGTTCGAATTTCTAAATGGACAAAGTGAGTGTTTGAGTAATGTGTATTTTTTGTTAATGAAAAAAAAAAAAATTTACAGAACCAAACATGAGAGAAGATAAAATTTGTGTTCATTATAAAGGAGATAAAAAGTGTAAGGATGATAGGATGAATTATTTTTCATACTTCAAATATGGAGGGAAGATAAGAGGATGTAAAATAAATGGGGTTATTATAAAAAGTTTTAAATTATAATATGATCCTTCATAAATATTAGATATACTCCCGAACAAAATAAACAATGGATATAATAGTAAAAATAATTTAAAACTCTATTTTCTTTCTATCCCACTCAACAAAATAAGTTATCAATAAGAAAAGGAGGGAAAAACACATTCTCAACTCTATTTTCTTTCTATCCCACTCAACAAAATAAGTTATCAATAACAAAAGGAGGGAAAAACACATTCTCTCCCTTAAAAATGTCATATAAATCATTTTCATCCGACTTTTTACATCTAACCAAATAAAAAGAGAGAGAATCAAAATCCATTATGGAGGAATGTTGAGTTCTTCCATTCCATCCAACTTTCATCTTTCCTTTTTCTACTCAATGAATCATTAATTTCCTTCTTTCTTCCATAGAAACAAAATGTGTATCTAATATTTACAATAAGCAAATATATAAAATGTATTAAAATCTGACGAAAAATAAAAATAAAATATTTTATCCATTATATAACAAATATGGTATCTAATGAGCCCGTGTTTCCCATGCAAGTATGAGTCTAAAAGAGTTTCTTTTAATCCCAAACACTCGTGAGAGTCTAATTGAAAGAGACGTTTATACAGAAATTTTGATTCAAGCACTCAAAGTCAGAATTTGAATTCATTTTGTGTAACCATGTGAACCTTATCACCTCTTATCATCCTCATCCTTGACTCACCAATAAATTTAATGTCTCCACTTTTTTGTGTTCCATGACACATTGTATACTATGCCCGAGGGACAAGTGCATTAAACAATCCTAAAATATGTAGAAAAAATTATTTTTAATCTTTTCAAATTATGTAAAAATATCTTTCAATAAAAAATTTGACATAAATTAGTATTGTAATATCCGATTTGTCCTTTTCGTCTTTTGAAAATACCCAAGGGATATATATGTTACTAATATCATAGTACAGGAATATTACGTGCACATTATATATTTGAAATTTTTTCTCTATATATATGATTTGAATTTTTTGAGATTTTAATTTACTGTTTTCTACAAATGTTTTTTCTTTATTATTATTATTATTTTTTTGTGTGCCAATAATGTTAAACAAGGGGAAATAAAAAATAAAAAATATTTCAATATCAGTGTACACTGATTTTTGAAGTTTGAAGCAAATTTGTTTTTTTTAGTTTGCACTTTATTTTCGTTTTTTATCTTTACTTTCTCTTTATACTTTTATTTTTATTTTTATTTGTCCATTGCCGGCGTCTTCCAATAGTGTCATTTTACAAAATTATTTATTTTTATATATTTTATAAAATAGTTCAGGTAATTTAGTTAACTTATGATTAAATTTGTCATAAAGACCTATTTGTACCAAATTAAAACTTTAAGGGTGTGTTTTGCATGTGAGTGGTGTCCTTCAATAGTGTCTTTTTTAGTCATTTTACAAAATTATTTATTTTTATATATTTTATAAAATGGTTCAGTGAAGATAATTTAGTCCACCTAGGGTTTAAATTTGTCAGAGAGAACTATTTGTACCAAATTAAAATTTTAAGGGTATTTTTTACACATGAAGAGTATGATACGCACTGTAAACATACTTTAGGAATATAGAAAGAATTCCGTTTTTATAGTTGGTTCGTTTTATCTTAAATGTTTCAATATAAAATATAATCTATCATTTTTTATTTTGATAATACTTGCTTAGTCACTGAGTAGATACACTTGATCCAATCATAAATGCAAATATATCAAATAAATCCAAAATGACCTGGCTTCCATTTTTCTTTCCTTTCAAAAATTTTTTAATTAATAATTAAAGGTGATGTGTTGGTATAAGATTAGACCATACCAGTAAAAAATGCACACACACAAATGAGTAAGCAGTATTGTGGATAAGTTACAAAAATATATATAAGGGCCTTTCTACTCTTTATAATGAAAAAATTATTATCATTTATCCCAACCAATCGGCATTTGACACATTTATTTAGGTAATATTGATTCGCGGAAGACCAATAGCATTCCATAGCGATGATTGCCTAGTGGTCACTTGAACCTCAGTGAAGGCCTAAAACATAGAATATATAAATGGAGGTCGATTGTGAAGTATGGATATGTGATGGTCGGTCCAGCACCAATGTGGCCTTCAACAACTACTACAACAAAAATAACAAAACAAATAAAATAAAATAACATAAAAATCAAGCATCTTGGACTTCTTCAATTACAACAAACATACCATAAAATTCGAAAATGGGACATAATTTTTATTATGGGCAAATTACATAAAACTCTCTCTAATTTTAATTTTTGGTAGAAAACCCCCTTACAAAAATAAGTTGCCCCTAAGTATTTTGGTTGTTGAAACACTACCAAAGACCAGGATGAAATTATCCATCCCAACCATTTGAAGGGTTTTTTTTTTTTTTTTTAATAATGGGTAAAGTACACAGACACCTTTGAGGTTTGGGGTAAGGACAAGTAAATGAAAGTTCGCTTATTTTTGGACAACCACACACCCTTGTAAAATTTGTCATCCGAACATAGCCTTAAAATATGTGAAAAGTCTATTTTACCCTTCACTATTTTATTAATTTTAATTATAAAATATCAAATTTCTTAAATGACCAAGTTACCCATTTCATCTTTCTCTACCCAACCCCTTTCTCTCTCCTCCACAATCCATTCACAGCCCATTCTCTCTCCTCTCTCCGTTCTCTGTCTTCCTCCTCTTGCCGCTCCAGCACCACCCACCATCCCACCACCACCGCCCCACCCCTTCTATCTATCTCTCTCCATGATTCCACCCCATACCACTTACCATCGCCGCAATCACTGAAACGGAAGACGAAATCACCGCCGCCCGTCAACATCATCATCATCATCCAACAATGGCTTCCGGCGACGATGGAGGCAAGACACGACTTGATTCCGATGACGATTATGTTCAAAGGATGGCTTCTGGCATCATCAGTTGGTGGTGAGGGGTTGTGGCTTAAGGTTGTGATTGGGTGTTGGTGTTTAAGTTTGTGATTGCTCTTCCTCAGTCAATTACCTATCCACCCAAACAGAACACAACAAATCAATTTCTCTTATTATTTTAGATCCAGTCAAAGATCACATGGCTTTAATCTTGAGTTGTTGTTGTTGTTGTTTTTTTAAAAAAAAAAAAAATCTTAAAACCTTTATGATTTGATGCTTATTTATATCTCCAATTTGTGGAGACCGGATCAAAATTACAGTGTATGGGCCTTTGTCGCTACCTTGTATGTGTGGATATATATATATATGTATGTATCTGTATATATATGTACGTATCTGTATATACATATATATATGTGTGTGTATATGTGTGTGTGTGTGTGTGGTGAAGTGAAGGGTTGAAGAAATCGGGGCAGAGCGTAGAGCACCTCCATGTGCGTGATTTGTGGTGGTGATGACATATGTGTGCGCGTGTGTAATATAAAGACAATATATATGGGTGTGTATTAGTTGTTTGGGTTAGGTCTATGCTGTGGGAGAGGGGAAAGAGAAGAAGAGGGAAAGGATTTTGGGTTTAGTATATGGGTTTTACCCAATAACCCATTTAAACTTATTTGATTTAAGGGTATTTAAGTAAATTGTATTTGTCAATTTTATATCAAAGGATGATAAAGTCAATTCACCATTGTCGGGCTGTCTTTGTTCATTTTATCAAACTTGAAAGGGTGTGATTGTCCAAAAATAAGACAATTTTCATCTACCTGTCCTTATATCAAACTCTAGGGAGTCTTAGTGTACTTTACCTTTTAATAATTGAAACAAGATCACTTTAAACTATAGAGATTTATAATTTTTTTTTATAAAAAAAACCTTCAAATGCAATTAGCTAGACATAAATACATTTGAAGGTTTATTTTTTCTTAATAATTGAAATAGGGTCACTTTAAACTATATGCATATATAGTTATTTTTATAAAAAAAAAAATTATCAAGGGGTTCTTCTTAGGAATTAAAGGTTCTTAAAAACTTTCACATAATCACATACAAGTTTTTATGAACATTTAATTCCTAAGAACAACCCCTTGGGAATTAAATAAATAAATAAATAAAATAAAAATAAAAATAACTAAGGAAAAGAAAAGGTTTAAAGTGACTTTGTTTCAATTACTAAGAGAAAAAAAAAAAAAAAAAAAAAAAAAAACCTTCAAATTCATTTATGTATAGCTAATTGCATTTGAAGGTTTTTTTTTTCTATTAAAAAAAAAAAAAATTATTTGTGTATAATTTACAGTGACTTTGTTTCAATTATTACGAAAAAAAAAAAAAAAAAAAAAAAAGGGGTTGGAGGGGCAGTGTTACAACCAAAATACTGGGGGAATTGGTTTTTCTACCCAAATTTTGAAATTAGAGGGGATTTTATGCAATTTGCCCTTTTATTATTATTACCTTACAACGTGCTGGCCGTATTAATTTTGCACGACATATCATTGGTATATTAGTCAATGAATATGCATAATTTAATAAAATTAAAAATTTTAACATAATATACCAATAACGTTGGAGTTGTTCAATATCCTCTCCATGTGATCCCTCACCTGGTGGATATTATTGAAGAAGATTCCTATTCTAGGGTGCACCTTAAATTGAGTTTCACTTTCAATTTTTGGTGAGAAAATAATATCTTGTGCTCTTAAAGAAACTGAAAGAGATAGTGAATGATTTGTGGGAGACAAAAGAGAAATAAAATGATATCATGTAACTGATTTATTTGTGTTTGTCCCACTCGTATATCATTATATTTATTCTAAAATTTCATCCGCTAACGTCAATATCAAAAAAATAATGCAAAAGATTTTAAGTTTCTTAACTAATTTCTTGCAATTATGAAGGAGCATTATTAAATTCTGATAGCACAATGAGATAGCGAGGCCTATACACAAATATTTTATCAAAATATGAACACTTTTTAAAAATCACAAAGTAGACAACATCTACATCGATTAACGCAGGTAATGAGTCATATGACATATACTATTAGTTTATTGTGATATATTTTCTTTTTTCTCCTCATTATGTTTTTCCGTGTTCAGTATCCTAAACTTTTGAGGTCATGAAAAAATTATAATAAATGACTTTTGACCGAAATTATTTAATTTTAATTTGATAAAAATTTAATTTATTTCTTGATATTTTCCTACCTTCATCTAACATTTGGTGCCTTATTATCATGGTTAGTAAAACAGTATCTATTTTACAATAATATGTCGGCAATAATAAATAATTGATTTGCTAGGAAAATAAAAAATAATAAAATAAATGTGGACATTGATGTAACTCAATTAAATTTATATACTTGCAAAAATATATAAATTTAATACAAACAAATAGCACGCAAAAGTAAGACAAACCTTGTCAAATTGTCATTATATTTTATATAATTTGTGTGCATCAACTTGACGAGTCAATTTTTGATGCGTTGAACTTTACTGAACTTGCGATATATATACACATATATATATATATATATGATGAGTGAATTCTCATGATAAACTTGCGCCCTTTTTTATTTGTCCCGGACAATGCGTATGGACATGTCAATCATTTTCTGTCATTGGCAAATGACTGCTATGTGGTTGGCGGCTTGCTTGCTTGTACTTTTTGATTCATTGTGTAAAAATTAAAATATAACCCGACAAAAGGGGGATAATGTTAATGAGCTGTTTTAATCCTTGTTTATTTGTTTATAGTCAACCATACAGTATATATACCGTTTAGTTACTTACTGATATACAAAACTGAATATATGCGACTTTTATTTCAGCAGTTGAATTTCATTAAATGATTGAAATTAAAAATAATTATTTTAATTGTTAAGATTTTTTTTCCTAACTAATATTAAAAATGAAAGAAATTCAAATATTGCCAAAAGAAGAAAAAGAAAGACCGTCAAAAGAATTTACTTCTAATACATAAAACCATCATAAAAGCATCATTTTAATACACAAATATAATCTATATGATTAAATAGAATAATATCAAATTTATTATACCAGAATAAAAAATAAAAATAAAAAAATGGGCAGGACATTCAAAAGAAAGGAACGAGGTTATTGTAAAAAAAAAAAAAAAAAAAAAACAAAACCGAAATGGATAACTTTTCTAAATTAGTAAAAATAGAAAATGATATTTGATTGTATTACCTTAATTGTCTATTCTAAATGTTTTATTTTGTTTAAAACACTCAAATTGAGTGGTTTTGGAGTCTTAAAAAATCAAAAACAACCAAAAAAAATTGTTTTCAATTTTATTGAAATAGAACTCGCGTATATTGCTCCCTGCACACCAAAGAGCAACTGAATGGGACGATATATAAATATATATATGGGTAAAGTGTAAAAAAATTCTTTTGTAAATAAATAACCCAGGCTACCCAACTGAACTAAAAATTGTCCTGAATTATTAATTTGTTGCAATTAAGGACAAACCCATCACAAACGACTATCTTATCCTTTCTCATTAAATTTTTCATTTCTTATTAAATTATTTTTATTATCTTTTCTATTATCTAAATATTAATTATACTATTTAACTTAATTTTATTTTATGATAAAAATGAAAAGAAAAGAAATGTGTAACTACCATTTTTTTAAATGATTAACTTATTATTAAAATTTTATTATTTATAATAAAATTTATTATATCTAGTTTAAACTTTTTTACTATAGAAAAATACTGCATACCTTATTTTTCTTTCAATATATTGACACTGAAATAAAAATACCTTCTTTATCATGATATTTATGAAAAATTAAGAAATTAATTAAATTGTTTTAAAATTTTCTACTTAAGATTTTTATTTAAACAATTTTTTTAAAAAAAATTAATGATAACTTTATGTTAATTTAATGAAGAATATGTCATCAAATTAGCATATATATTTTTTCAATAATTTATTTCAATAAGAAAAATAGATTAAGTGTAATTCAATAAGATATGGTAAATATAATCCAAGTATTGGGACATTTTACAACAAAATGTGATAGTTTATGGGGTATTCTGCACAAAATATAGTTCAAAAAGATTATTTGCAAATTCAAACGTAATTCAGGTCAGGTATTTTTTTCCCCATATATATATATATATATATATGCGCACGCTAAATGTGACATTTTAAAATTCTAGGATAAGGTTGTGTTGCATTTGTTAACGGTGGCCGCCTTTTAGATAATCTAACAATGACTTTGATCGTATGTAAACCAATCCACGTTCATGTGCATTATAAAGGGTGTCCTTTAAGTCAATGTTGTTAAATAATAATGTAAAATTATTACCATTTCCACCAACTTATACCCTTGACGTGATACAAAATGATATAATGATATTTTTTTCATTAAGGTCAAATGATGTGGTTGACACAATTTAACGGATGAATGTGGACCGTGGGATTAAATTCCTCTCCTGTCCAAAAAAAATAAAAAATGCCAAAGAATAGTACCGAAAAATGCAAAGGGCAAATAAGATATTATAGGTTTTAAAGAACATTATCTGAAATAAAATTCAAAAGTAGGGGTTGATATAAATAATGACAATACAGTGTATATGCATGTGCAGATTATGATAGATAGAAGGTAGTTCTAACAAATCTCTCTGGTTCACACATTTCATGCAATTACATCAAAACAACCCAACAAAAGAGACCGTGTTTAGGTTTGAAATAATAATCTATACCCTCTTTCTTATATTAATTAAGATGAGACAGACAGGTCATTGTTCAGGTATTCTACGTTCAATAAATTGGGCAGCGTCTACGTGGCCCACACTTAGTTTGCATAGGGTTCAGATTTAGATTTAACTACATAGGTTTGAGCATTCAAATGCTACGTAACATCAATTGGTTCAAATCAATTTCATGGGCAAAACAAACGTAACAATCAATATAGTTAATGCCATCTGCTACAAACCTAATTTCCAACAATATAGTTATTTTTAGGCTCGCAACACAGAATCTGCACCAAAATACATACATAATATTCAATATTATTTTACATAAAGCATGTGTTTGTCATGCATTTATAGTTGCACCAAGCAAATGACCCTTACCTGACCTGTTAAGATTAAAATTCATATTTGGTACTAACACCAAAAGCGAACATTCCCTAAACTAATTCCCCACCAAGGCCTATGACCTAATAGTATCTCTTCTCATTTTAAGTAAAAATAGAGGGTTGAGTCTTCCCAAGAGCATTGTGGGGAGTCATTTGTCAGGATCACAAAAAAACAAAACAAAAAACAAAACACCCCTAACAACATAGTTAGGGTTTCTGCCACGTCCGGGCTTGAATCCCTCCTCTCCAGTCTCCTCTTTGAGGATGGGGAGGTTATATCATTGGGCGAAAGGCCCTTTGGTTACCCATCTGCTTGTTGATATGCTTAAACTACAGAGGTAGTCCTAGATGACCTAAAGTCACAACTGGGCTGTTCTCAGCTTTCCATCCATGTCAACTGAGACAAATAAACAAAGTATGAAAGGTCTATGATAATGGGACACTACACATGAGATATCGCGGGTCATCAAAGTAGGGCGGCTAATACATTCAGAATTTGGACATGAATTTGTGTATGATAACATGAAATGTAAAGGGTCATCATGATAACTTTATGCTCTATGAGCTCAGTAATCTACTCGATATTCTAGCCTCTAGCTAATGAAGAAGACAACTTAGGAAGAGAACAGAACCATGATGGTAAAAGCCATTGTTTATAGAAACAAAACAAGCGTATAAGGCCTGCAAGTCCAAGGGACGAGTCTTCCCATAATCGTGGAAGTTTCTGATGAGAACAATTTTTCAAAATACATTTTTTCCAGAGGCAGGTCATGAACCTGAATTCATTTTACGGAATTTAGAGAAAAGACTTGAGAGATTTCGGACATTATTGTTGACAGCAGAGTAGATGTAACAAGTGATAGTCATCACAGTTCTAAAGTGAATTTTGTTATATGGAATACTCAAGTTCATCTGGGTGTACTGGTTCATCTGGGTGTACTGCAACTCCATTAGGTTCATCATCTGCATGAAGCTGAGCAGAAACACCATCTATGGCAGAGTTCAGCTGTGCAATCTTCTCAGACAGCACTTGGCGTGTCCTCTGTTCTCATTAAATCACAGGGGTAAGAAAATCAGCCCAGATTATAAATAAGACCGAAGGGACGAGACCACTACCAAAATAATAATAATAATAATAATAATAATAATAGTAGAGAGAGAGAAGCTTAAAGAGTGAAAAGGCTCGATAAGGGATGAAGGAAATTTGGTTGAGATGCTTCAGTCACGTGCAAGGAAGACCAGCAAATGCATGACTCTGTTGATATGGTAGCGGTTGAAGGTGTGAAGTATAAGACCAAGATATTAGTGCATATTACATGTCGGTAGATAAAGGACAAAAGAACTTAATAAAAACCTTATTCGTAAAAGTCATTCCTCTTGGAGTTGATCCGCATTCTATAGCAAGAAAAAATTGAGACTAGTATGTGACACACGAATTATTATATGAGGATGAAAGATGGCTTCAAAAAGAAAAAGGATAGAATTGGCAAAAATGTGCATAGTCAAAATGATGGTCATTGGAGGAGCAACTTCTCACCTCTAAAGCTTTCTCTTCGTCATATATAAATTTCGGAAGCTTTCTCATCAAATCTTTTCCGTCAGCTCCTGCTAGTGCCTTGCTAATCTGAAAGATAATACATTTATTAAAGTAAAAATTCAGAAAGAGGGGTACATTTCAAGAATCAAACTCGCAACTGCTCCCACCCGAAGCAAGATTTTTACCACTAGACCAAATGCCCAAAAATTGGCTATGGTGAAAGATATCATTTATTAGTAGAACATATATTTCCTATTATGTTACGCCTGTGCATCTTAGGGAACTTACATCGTGACCATCTGAAAATGTGATCTTCTAGGAAGAGTTTACCCGAAGCAAGATTTTTACCACTAGACCAAATGCCCAAAAATTGGCTATGGTGAAAGATATCATGTATTAGTAGAACATATATTTCCTATTATGTTACGCCTGTGCATCTTAGGTAACTTACATCGTGCCCATCTGAAAATGTGATCTTCTAGGAAGAGTTGTCTAACAATAAAACTATTGGCTCTCCAGAAACTAGAAGATGCATATAACTGCTTTATCCAGACCAGACAATAACAACTTTTCCTAGCCTAAGTAAATCAGAGAAACAACCTCTGCTCCATTGACTCAAAGATCAACAAGACAATACTTGATAAAATGCAAAAACAATTAAGAGAGAGAGAGAGTTATTGGAGATGAAAGGGTAGGAATCCTGCCATACCTGAGGTGCAAATGCGCAACCTAATGTTCCAACAACAATTCCTCCCAATACAAAGCCACCAACAAAGACACTTGGACCACTTCCTCTTCCACCATCCGTACTGCACTAGCACAAGAGTATGCAGTCCTCATAAAAACCACATATCCATATAATATGAGAAGTAGCTAATGCCAATATTAAAATCCTTAAGATCTGAAATTGGATGTATTATACATCACAGTACATATAAAGAGAAGGTTAAAAACTAGATTTTGGTCTCAGAATCAGCAAGAGACTATCCAGAAAAGTGTACAAGCAGTTAAGGTGCTCAGAATCATGAGGCGAGAAAAAATAAAAGGCAACTAGTCATTTTGAATGTGTGTATGCACATGCACGCTGGGGAAAGAGAGAGTCCCCTGCTGTAGACAAATAGACAAGTTTCAATGTAGCAAAGGCATATTTAATATGAACCCAAGTGTCAAGTCAACTGACAAACAGCTGCAGTTGAAGCATCATATATTTCCAGTTAAGTATATGAGATAGAAGTCAAACAGAAAATTAAGAAACTATGACAAGAAATATGATCATACCCTGCTCTCACTTTAAGTGATCTTCTGTATTTTAGAAGTTTTGCTTTTCTCTGGGAAGTAGGGCTGATAAACAACTTACTGGAGCCAAGACATTGGTCCACTTGCGCCAAAGAAGAACCTAAAATCATATATTTGATAACAATTAAAAAAAATTAAGAACCCCTAGAACCAAAATAGTTAAATAAAATGCATGATACATTGGAGTGAAATATAATGCTGAATACAAATTCAAATGCATAGTCAAATAACTAAAACATGTTGGGAAAATAAAACAGCAATGGAAATTCAAAGTTAAAGAATGTTTTGACTTTTTAGCATCCACAAGCATCTAAAAATATTAACCTCACCCTTGCCTGGTTAAATTAAATAATGTAATAACATGCTAAAAAGTAGAAAACTTGAAGAGAAGGAAGACCATTGGACTACAATATTCATACTAAATAATAAAAAATAAACCCAAAAACACAAAAAAATACCAACCGGCGTAGTACCTTGAAAAGAAACCGTATATGATCTAATTCTATAGCCAGTTTAATATCAAAATATTGTCTATGATACTGAACATGTGGAATGAACTGAAACATGGACATCTATACGTAAGATTATAATTTGCATTGATATGATTGGGTGGAAAAAGTTTCCTATTAAATATGAAAAAGTATTACTTACAACAATGATTTTTTAAGTTAACATGACCCTACTGTAGCTCCAAGACAATGGTGCAATCATAACAAGAAGAACATTAGAAAGCGATTCCTGATAATTATTCATTTGATGTGAAGCAAACATAGGGCTTAAACCTGTTCATGGGACTTCTAATAAAGTTGGCGTGCCTTGGATTTTCATAAAATGGTAGTAATCTAATGCATTAATGGACTACCCTAATTGGTAAGATAACCATGTCAAGCTGGCCATTAAACTTTTTTTATCAGATATCCACCATTTTATATTTAAGAAATAAGCAGACAAAGCATTGGAACTTTTCAAAAATCCCAATTTACCCATTGGCTTAATTGAATAAAACCCCTAGGGTAATATGCAAATTCCTATAGTTCAAGGGGTTTGTGCAATTAACCATAAGGGTAATTTAATAATTTTCCAGACGCATTCAATCACGACCCATTGATGGTCTTATTTGTAAACTTTAAATAGTTCGGCCGGCCGGCCGACCGGCGGGCGGGGTTAAGGGGTGTAAGGTGCAATTTTTTTTATAGTTCATGAGGGTTTTGTGCAAACAACCCTAGTAACCATATAGGCCCCTTTCTTATTATACAAAAACTCGATATCTAGTATCATGCAATTTAGGGAGCTCAATATTATTTCCCCACCTTGTAAAATAATGGAAATGTCCATAATTTTTTTTTTTTTTTTTTTTTGATAAGTAGGAAATGTCCATGATTTCAATACATGTTTGCAAAAGATACCAAAAAATCATGGGCAGTTAAACATTTTTAGAAACAAGAAGTTCTTGTTCAACCTTATTATTCAAACAAATAGACATTCACTATACTATATTCATGCATACTTGTCAGCTAAGAAGCACGGACACGGATACGGGACACGGATACGACACGACACGGACACAGCGACACGGCAAATCCAAAAAAATTAGGACACGGACACGGCAAATAGTATATATATATATATCAGCATTAATAATTTAAAAAAAAAACACTGATATGTTTAGGTTGGAATATATATATATATCACTGATATGTTAGTATATATATATATCAGCATCTTTAGGACACGGACACGGCGAATTGTGGCATCTTTAGGTTAGTATATATATATATCACCATCTTTAGGGTAGTACAAAACAAAAAATAGAACATATCAACATTAAAATTTAAAAAAAAAAAAAAAAAAAAATCCAGAAAAGTGTGTCCGAGCTGTCTGAGCCGTGTCTATGCCGTGTCCAAGCCGTGTCCGAGCCGTGTCCGAGCCGTGTCCGAAAATAAAAAAAAAATAAAAAAATTCCAGACACGTTTTTTGGCGTGTCCGACACGTGTCGGGGCATGTCCGACGCGTGTCCGTGTCCGACACGTGTCGGACACGGATTCTTCGCCCATTTTGGAGTGTCCGTGCTTCTTAGCTTGTCAGTGTGAACTTCATAAATAGCTAACCAATCTGCTCAATTTCCAGTATCCTGTGAATCTAGGGGTGGAGATAAAAAGAGATTGTATAAATCTCCTTTGTCCATTGAAACAGCTAAGTAAGCTATCCACACTCAGTAAATCTATAATCTGTTTTAGATTAAATTGTGAGTCATAACCTCATTGTCGATGGGTTATCTACTAAATACTCACAATGCTCACTTTGTGGTGCCCATCAATTAAATCTATGTTAAGGACTTAAGGGTGCCCTCTCTACCAAGTGATAATTGTTACTGTTCCCAATTGCCCTTTCCATGGATTGCCCAGCATTGGCTCTGGACCAAATGACAACCAATACACCTGAAGCACAAGGGCTCATAAATATGTTAAACTTATAATTCAACCAAAGAAATACCAATACCATGGAGTACAAGGATATATGAAGAAACTTTAGAGCCTACTTCCTAAATGCAATATCAAGAAAATTTAATTCGTATTTAGGCGTCAATAAGGATTGTACAGCTGCATCAAGAATTACATCACATCTAGAAGAGGAAATTCACTATCATGAGTGAGGCCATTGAAAAAAAAAAAATAGTAACTACTACATTCAGTAAGAGGGTTTCTTCACAGACATTAATTCTTACTTTCAAAATTTAGGGAAAACACAACTTAGCCATTCAAATTTCACGCCCCACCAAGAACACCGTTTAGAGAAATTGAAACTAGCTACTACAAGGAATATATTAGCATAATCATGAAATGAAAAAAGATCACATCAAACATATAGAAATATTAGTGCAATGACATAAGTGCAAGTGCAAGTATTGGAGCAGCCACTTTATTAAATATGAAAGATTAGGTCTGTCCCTCCCCATGTGCTGCTGTAGCAGGACCAAAACTGAGTAATGTCCATTTAAGAAAAAAAAAAAAATTAAACCATCTGACCAAGCCTTTGGCTCAAGTGTTATATCCTCTTCCTTCCAAGAAAGGTTGAGGGAACCCTTAATGCGCAATAGTGGATGTGTACTGTGTGTGAGTAACTTACCTATTAATACATATATATGTGTGTGTGTGTGTGCGCGCGCGCGCATAAATGATAGGAGTATATGCAAGCCAGAATACTGGAGGTTTGATTTTGATTTTTACCTATCTCAGAATAACAAGCCCAAAGAGATCATAAATGCAAACACCATTGAATGAATGAACAGAAGAACAATTGATGATTCTGATAATGATGATGATAAATGAAAATTAAGAAATTAATTAATTAGACAACGATTACCAGATGAGAACTGGGTTTGAGGATTTCTGGGTGAAACAAACGAATTCGAAAGAGCATTCATCATTCCAAAGCTTCAGACGGAGAGAGAGAGGGGTAGAGAAAAGAGTTGTTGGTATCGATAAATTTTGTTTCGATGCATCTTTAAGTAGAGATACTACTAACGGCAGAAAATATCGACAAACAGAAGCATCATCGGAGCCAAAAACAAAAAAAGAGTATCGTCACACTAATAATGGTCTGCTGTAAATTCGGCCCAAATTTGAAGCTTAAACTCGAGACCTGCCATATCCCGGCCCATGGTAGGAGGTTAGCCTAAGTTACACAGCGCTCCCAACTTACTTTTAGGGCAAATTACACAAAAGACTCCCAGGTTTTCAATTTGTACACGTAGACAGAAGGAGGCCACGGTATAACAGAAAGGCCCAAATTAACTACGTTAGTGGTTTGATATGAATTTACATTTTTGTCTTTAAAATTAAACTATTTGTTTAATTCTAAAATATAAAAAAAAAAATTATGTATTATTAAAGTTGGGACACACACATTTCTCTGCTGGAATGATTTTGAGCTCATCGTAGAGAGAGAAAATGTGCCCGCTGAGAGTGATTCTGATCTTTCTCTCGGCAACACTCGCCGGCTTTTTCCTACTGAGAAACCTCAAATCTCAACCCAAAATCCCTGAAGAAGAAGAAGAAGAAGATCATCATTCCCGCGATTCCCTAATTCCTCCCTCGGATTCTTCCTCCTTCAAATCCAACACATTCTTCTCCAAGGTCCCCAATTTGTTCCCTTTCCATTACTTCTAGGGTTTTCCTTCCCATCAATTTCCCTTCTTTCCCAATTTAAGAGTGCCCACTGTACCAGTCATCCTCGCCGTAGTCCTCGTCGTTCCGTTTCACCGCGGAGAACACCTTGCTCGCCGTCGTTCCCGCGCCTCGACGGTAAGCTTCGTTCCGAGCTCTCCTTCAGCCGTTCATCCTTGCCCATCGTCGTTAATCGCTATCCGTCGCCGCAACCGTCGTGCTTGCCATCATTGTTCACCATCATCGGCCGTCATCCAAGCACACTGACGGTCACCATCATCGGCGTTCTTGTCATCCTTGCTGACCATATAGTTGTTTTAAGCTCGCCGCTACCAATCTGGTAAGTTCCATTGCCGTAAAATCGTTGATAGCTGGTAAGTTCTCTTGCCGTAGGCAGTACAGACCCGCTTGGGTCATCACCGGCAAAGCACAGTCCCAACATCTGCAAGGGGCCCATACCCGATAGGGCATTGAACAAGCCAGGGCAACAGAAACACACCAGTCTGATAAAACCCACCTGAGCAAGGTGCGAATTGTATCGGAACATGGATGATTTTTCGGTGACTTGGCTCGGCGTCGTCCCAACTTCTTCATCTCCTTGGAAACGCATGATTAGATTAGAGAAAGAACAGAGGATTGATCTGTGGTTGGATTTGGCTCCGTGGTTTGTGGTTGGATTTGAGCCACAAATGATTCTCTTTTATTTTTTTTAATAATACACAATTTTTTTTTATATTCTTTCATTAAACAAATAGTTTAATTCTAAGGATAAAAATGTAAATTCATATCAAACCACTAACCACAAACAATTAATTTGGACATTTCTGTTATATTGGGACCATCTTCTATCTACGTGTACAAATTGAAAACCTGGGGAGTCTTTTGTGTAATTTGTCCTACTTTTATTATCATCATTTAACTTGAGTAATGATAGGGGAATCGAAAATGAATTCCTGAATTAATACCAAATTTAATGTAGTTGGTTATACTTATCACGTGTTAAATAATTATTTTTTAAAAACTGTTTAAGTAATTAAGGTGGACAAAAACACGTTATATTTTGGACTTATTCGAAAAAATCATTTGTTGATTTTAGCATTTTCTTTAACTTAAATTTTCGCGTTCCATTCCGTGTAACTTAGAGTTAACAACCGTATTTTATGAATAAATAGAAGAATTAGTATAGATATATTTTGAATTATGAATGCTGAGTTTTGAAGAAGAAAAAATTATGAATATATAAAAGAAATTAGTATAGATATATTTTGTATTAAGAATCATAGGTTTAATAAGTATATACTTAAATTTAATTTATAAAATATTTTAATGATAATAATATTTAATATAATTAAAAACAATAAAAATAAAAATAAAAAACTTATCAAAGTATGATTTTTATGTACTTTTTTTAGTTAGATATCCGAATGACAGGTTCGTTTCCAAGATCCCTTCATAGTTTGAAAAGGAGGTGCATGATGTCATCGAACTCAGGTTTTTTGGCAGGGTAAGTGAAAATGTCATTTCTATGATAAATTAAAGATACATGAAAATGTAAAAATAAAAAAAATAAAAAATAAACCAATTTTACTTCGTGTTGCTCAAATTACTATCTAAATATTCATCAAAATCATGTCAATTTTTTTTTTTTTTAAATTCAAATTGAATTCATAATTTTTTTGTTTAGAGTCCTGTTTAGTGAGATTGTTGTATTTGTGTATTTATTTACTGGATTTTTTAATGCAAATTTTAGAAGTTTGTAAGGAAGTAGGATCCTTTGTGGTAAATGGGTCATGTTGTATCTATATTGTAATATAAATAACTTCATTTAAGGTATGTTTATTGAAAAGTTAATTTAAGAGTGAAATGGAGCAACCAACAACGTTAATGGTAAATTATTAAAAAATCAAAAATCAAAATATATTGTTTGCTATCTCCGGTCTCCTTCCAATCTTCCTTGCCGATCTTTCTATCAAAATATACCACGCTTATTTTTGAGCTCCTAAAATTAAATTGAATAAAATACTGTATAATATGGTTCGTTGTTGTTTGGCCTTCTTCTACTAAATTGTTTTCTAGGTCGGGAGATCGCAATGGTTGACAAGTATATTTTGATTTATATTTTTTAAATAATTTACCATTAACGTGATTTAAATAATTAGGTATAAATTTTAATCTTGTTCAACATGAATCTCAGCAACTTATATATATTAAATCTTGTTCTCAACACCTTAAATCAATTGTATACGTATATTTTTTAATCTTAACTTCTAAATCAATTGGATACATATTTTAATCTTGTTCTCAACATAATTTAATCTGTATTTCAATACTTTTTAATCTTATTTTCAATACCTTTAATCTTTACCTAAAAGCCATTTAATCTTACTCTCAACACATTTTAATCTTGTTCTCAACACCTTTAATCTTTACCTCAACACATTTTAATCTTGTTCTTAACACCTTTAATATTTACCTCAACGTCCTTTAATCTTTACTTCAACACCATTTAATCTTGCTCTTAACACATTTTAATCTTGTTCTTAACATCTTTAGTCTTTACCTCAACGTTTCTAAAAAATTAAATGGTGTTGAGGTAAAGATTAAAATTTGTTGAGAGCATTGAGATAAGATTAAAATGTGTTGAGAGTAAAATTAAATGTCATTGAGAATAAGATTAAATGAGGTTGAGAGCATTGAGGTAAAGATTAAAATATGTTGAGAACAAAATTAAAATGTGTCGAGAGCGTTGTGGTAAAGATTAAAATGTGTTGAAAGCAAAATTAAATGTCATTGAGAACAAGATTAATCTTTACCTCGATACTCTCAACACATTTTAATCTTTACCTCAACGCTCTCGTTGACATTTAATTTAAAGATTAAAGTTGTTGAGAATAAGATTAAAAAGTGTTGAGAATAAGATTAAAAAGTGTTGATAACTAGATTAAAAAAGTGTTGATAACAAGATTAAATTATGTTGAGAGTAAAATTAAATGAGGTTGAGGTAAATATTAAAATTGTTGATAACAAGGTAAAATTAAGGTGTTGAGAATAAGATTAAATGGCGTTAAGGTAATGATTAAAGGGCATTGAGGTAATGATTAAAGGGTGTTGAGGTAAAGATTAAAATGTGTTGAGAGCAAAATTAAATGGTGTTGAGGTTGTAACGAGCCGAACTCGAGGGTCCGAATCGCTAACCGGGTCATTACCCAAACCCGAGATCATCTAGGGATAGTGCTGTCATGTCCAAGGTTAAGATGTAATTAGTACACCCCACAGATCCTTCTAGTACGCAGTGGTGGAATGACCCAAATCATAAAGGTCCAGTGCGTGAATGGACACTAGAAAACCCTTAAAGGATTGCCAAAAAATGAAAGGAAGAAAAGTATTTATTTATTATTATTATTTTTTTTTTTTTTTCGAACAATACCCAGTAGACTACCCCTGTGTGGTAGTCAACTAACCCCTAGTAGACAACGCTTGTATAGTAGTCAACTAACCTCCAGTAGACTACGCATGTATGGTAGTCAACTAACCCACAAAAAATACCTTGTGCGAAAGAAATAATCACCTGACAATATTAATAATATACATCCCGTGTCATCCTCATCAATGAAATTAACCAAAATAACCCATAGTTATCCTATTCATTCCAATATACCAACATAGTTATTACATGCTTCCATGACCACACACAAAATACATCAAACTGTTGTCTAAAAATATAGGTACATTGTCAAGTTACAACAATAAAACAATTACATAGATTTGCTGAAAACTTTACAAAAGAGATATCATAATACAGAATGGCCAATAATAAGTCTTTTCTAGTCTTGTCCATGCCCGTGGAAGTTTAACGTCTACCAACTCAATCCTGTGACCTGAAAAATGTAGAGGAGTGAGCACAACGGCTCAGTAGAGATTGCCTAAGTGGCATCTCCTCAAACAAAGTAAATAATCCAATACTTTACACACAATGAATAAAAATAAATAAATAAAAAAAAAGAAAAAAAAGAAGAAAGTAAGGGGTCATGCGAGGGATTCACATACGACACTCAACTTTGTGAGTAATCTTCACCACCATCACATACAATGCAATGAATCAAATGTCAATGCAAACCCACGTCGCACCATACCCTCGCATATTCACACTTCCCGTCCATACCATCGTATATCTACACATCACTTCTACACTCTCACACATCCACAAATCTCTTCTATACCTTCACAACTCTCAAGCCCATCAATGCTCTTATGCAATGCATATGGATTACTGTAATTTCAATCATTTAATTTTTCATCATGCCTTCATTATACAATAACAATTTCATGGCACAACAAAGTAATTTAACAACCTTAGCATATTTTAACCTTTTAACATCATCGAGCAGTGTATAATCAAAATGTCACAAACGACCATATAAGAAAAATGTATAATTCGTCACATAACCACTTCATAGTATGTCATTTACAATTTATCCTCAAGACAAGCACATAACCACTTTAGCACATCAATTATACAAAGCTCATGCATAAACCAAACCCTAGAACTAAACCATCCAATTAAACCATAAATTGACATGCTAGAGGAGGGGAAAAACATCCAAGTAACTACTAAATCAAAGGAATATGACAATTAAACAACTCTACCTCAATTTGAAGCAAAAGCCCTAATTTTTGAATTCCACCAAAGTAACTCAATTCCAACTTTGCTCCGATCAATTTGTAGATCTCGTTAAGCTCTTCGACTTTGCCTTATACGGCCTCATCAAATTCCAAGTAGGTAGAGGGAGATCAAGGCTTGAATTGGTGGAAAAAGAAAAAGGGAAGCAGAGAGAGAACTGGCGTGGAGAGAGAGAACTGATGAATGATCTGGTGATGACCATTTGGGCATCAAAATGGCTAATGTCATGCGGGTCCAACAACTTTAAGAAAATATCTACTATAACGTTAATATATAAATGTATATACATCAAACATACTACAACACGTGTCTAAACACAGAGCCGCACAAATATACATCAATTAATAATAGACAAAATACAATGGCCTCGAAACATAACCCTTGTGCTCAACAATGCCGGTTGCGGATCCCGCCTGGGACCTCCCTACCCAAAAAATAAAAAAAATACCGAAATGGCGGTTAATGCATTTCTAAGAATCCCGAACTTGAAAAAAAATGCTCTAATCAACTCTCGGAACTCATCCGGCACACCCCACAGTGTCTAGCACACAAAACGAAATGGAGAAAAATAAAATCCAAAAAATTGAAAAATTAAAAAATAGAAAATAGGAAAAATGGGGAACAGATATAAAGATTAAAGGTGTTGAGAACAAGATTAATAAGTGTTGAGATAAGGATTAAAATATGTTGAGAGCAAGATTAAATAAGATTGAGGTAAATATTAAAGTTGTTGATGACAAGATTAAAGGTTTTGAGAACAAGATTAAAAAGTGTAGAGATAAAGATTAAATTATGTTGAGAGCAAGATTAAATGAGATTGAGGTAAATATTAAAGTTGTTAATAACAAGATTAAATTAAGGTGTTGAGAATAAGATTAAATGGCGTTGAGGTAATGATTAAAGGGTGTTGAGGTAATGATTAAAGGTGTTAAAAACAAAATTAAAATGTGCTAAGAGCAAGATTAAATGGCGTTGAGTTAAAGATTAAAGGTGTTGAGAACAAGATTAAAAAGTATTGAGATAAAGATTAAAATATGTTGAGAGCAAGATTAAATGAGGTTGAGGTAAATATTAAAGTTGTTGATAACAATATTAAATTAAGGTGTTAAGAATAAGATTAAATGGCGTTGAGGTAAAGATTAAATGTGTTCAAAGCAAGATTAAAATGTGTTGAGAGTAAGATTAAATGGCGTTGAAGTAAAAATTAAAGGTGTTGAGAACAAGATTAAAAAGTATTGAGATAAAGATTAAATTATGTTGAGAACAAGATTAAAATGTGTAACCAATTGATTTAGAAGTTAAGATTAAAAGATTTACGTATACAAATTGATTTAAGGTGTTAAGAACAAAATTCAATGTATTTAAAGTGTTGATTCATGTTGAACAAGATTAAAATTTATACCTAATTATTTAAATCATGTTAATAGTAAATTATTTAAAAAATATAAATCAAAATATACTTGTTAACCATTACGATCTCCCGACCTAGAAGACAATTTAGGAGAAGAAGACTAAACAACAACGAACCATATTATCAGTATTTTGTTCAATTTAATTTTAAAAAAAAAAGTTCAAATGACATGATTAATTTAGTTTCATTTTGAAATTATCACATTCATAAAATTACAACAATGAATGTAAAAAAGAAGAGAGAGAGAGAGAGAGAGAGAAAAAAAAAATAAAAAAATAAATAATAAAAATAGAACTTTGAAGAAAAAAATATTAGGAATTAATTGAGGAAAGGGAAATAGGAATGTAAATTTTTTTGTAAAAAAAAAAAAAAAAAAATTGTAGGAATTTGAAGAGTAAAAGAAGGGGAAAAAAAAAAAGAAATAAAATATAATTTTAGTAAGTGAATATTTTAGGAGGGTATGATATAAAATTTCTCCACATATGGTATAAAAATAACAACAAAATGATGCATATATAAAGGGTAGGGACAGGGTCGGGGGAATGTACCCTAGGCATACATTGGCTTCGCCCCTGATTGTAATTGTATATATGCGTGTGTCTTGGCGACCGTGATTTAATATCTACACATTGTTGCATAATTGCTACTTTTTAAAACAATTATTTTATTTTATATTATTTGGTTGTACACATACATGGAGAATTGGGACCCCAAAAGAGGTGAGTCTTTATCATTAGACTATTTCTTTAGATTTATCAAACAGATTAACTTTGTGTATAAATTAAGTTTTAAGCTATTTTTGGTAGAGTGGAAAAGAAACAAAAGAAAATAATAATGTTAATTATTTATTATATTTGTTTGATTAATGAATAAGCATATTTGGATAAATAAAAAAATAAAAATATTATTTTAATGAATTTACCATCATACTATTTTTCATAAATTTTGTCTTTTGCAAAAATAATCCCAAATTTAATATTAACAAAATTTTAGGCGCCGTTTGTTTGGACATAAAATATCTTTTAGAAAATATTTTTTATTTACGAAGAAAAAAATTTCGACAAGTTATTTTACATATCTCGCTGGATGGACTCAACCTCAACCTTTACGTAAACCTTTGTCAAACACCCACAAAATAAAAATAAAAAAAAATTTTACCAAAAAAATAAAAATATTTTTTCATTTCATTCCATTTCTTTTTTTTGGGGAGGATATCAAAAGTCACCGTGCCTTAACATATCCTTACAAATCATCCTTTTTTTCCTTGCAACATTTTATACCAAATACAATTTATTTCTCATTATAAAAGAATATTTTACCTGAAAAATAAAAATATTTTTTCATTTCCTTCCTTTTCTTTTTTTTGGGAGGATATCAAAAGTTACCATGCCTTAACATATCCTTCCAAATCATCCTTTTTTTCCTTGCAACATTTTATACCAAACACAATTTATTTCCCATTTCCCTCAATTAATTTTTATTTTTATTTTTTTCATTTCCATTGTCCGAGGAGGCCCTTAAGATGACCAAAGACCAATTCTCGGAATCTCAATCAAGCAAAACCTCAGATCCAAAAAAGAATCAAAAGATTGCAAATTCTTGGGTGGAAATAGCAATCTTTTCCAAAAAAATTTCTTCTTCCAATTATACGCCTTCTATTATCTTTTTAATTTTTTCCAAATATAAATAGGGTTTAAAAAATTATTTAGCTTGTCCTAAATCATTTTTACACAGTGTGCTTATTTTTGGCAAGAACAATATAAAAACCCTTAATACGACGACGTCTTTGAGTATGTAACGGTTCCACTCTTTCTAATAAAACTAGTCTCCAAACAACAAAACCTCTACAACTCTGTTGGAGGCGTGGGGTTTAGGGGCGATCGGAGTTCTAGAGCGAGAAAATTTTCTCTCTCTAAAAGCAAGCTTCTTTGAAGGCAGAGAGGCAAGATGGGGCTTTTCTTGAAGATAGGTTGAAGAAGAAAGGAAGAGAATGGTTGTTTAGGTAATTATAAAAAATAGCGAATAATGAGGAGCCCATTCGGAGGAGGAAGGATCTGTGAAGAATTCTCACCTGGGTATTATGGGGTTTGCGCCGTTGGAGGAATGCTCAGTGCAGGAACAACCCATCTCGCTATCACTCCCTTCGATGTCCTCAAAGTCAATATGCAGGTATACATTTTTGGTTTATACCTATATATTCATTACATTCTTACCCAAACCGTGTATCTATTTATCTCTCTCTCTCTATATATATATATAATCACTTATGTTCGTGAGATACTCTAGTTTTTTTTTTTTTTTTTTCATAATTGGGGAGATACTCTAGTTTATTACTATTTTCCTTCATTTTCATAGTTCTCCTGCATTCCTTTTCACCTCCAACTGAAATAGAATTCCTTTTGCTGCAAAGTTTTACTCTGGCCTCAATTGGGTAAATTATCATGGTTCTATTGTTTGTGTTTTTGTTTGTATAGACTATGTAATTCCAGAAACTATTGACTAGAAGGCATTCCTAGATGTAACTCAAACCCAATTTGTCAGTGCTGGTTTTGTAGTTCTTGGTATACTCTGTGTAACCTTTTGAAGATGACTTGGTGATTGGTTTTGTTTCTCATTCCTATGTAGTCTTCTCCTAGGGAAACTTTTCCCTTTTGCTAAGTGGTTTTCTTGATTGCGTAGTCTCTCTTTTAAGTAAAACAAATTAATTTTGTGAATTATAGGTGAACCCTATCAAGTATAATAGTATTTACACTTGCTTTACCACTCTATTGAGAGAACAAGGGCCTTCCACCTTTTGGAGAGGTCGTGGTGGCAAGTTCTTCGGGTACGGTGTTCAGGGAGCTTGCAGATTTGGCCTGTATGAATACTTCAAGATGGTTTACTCTAATGTGCTGGTAGATCACAACAAGAGTTTCATCTTTTTTGTTAGTAGTGCATCTGCTGAAGTGATTGCCAATGTGGCTCTCTGCCCTTTTGAGGCTATTAAAATCCGTGTTCAAGCACAGCCTCATTTTGCAAAGGGCTTAGTTGATGGCTTTCCTAAGTTATATGCCTCAGAAGGCCTCCGCGGGTATAGATTTCAAAATCTCAGCTTCCCATTTTTTAATTCTTTCATTACGTTTTGTTTCTCTCTTATCAAAAGTTATTTCTGTTTTAATTTTGGCTTGCAGCTTCTACAGGGGCCTTGTTCCACTTTGGGGCCGTAACCTTCCATGTAATTGCACATTTACCTATAGCAATTTTTTATTTTATTTTTATGCTTAGCATTCTGATGGCTTTCTACATGTATTATTATTATTTTTTGTCAAGTACTACATATATTATGATATCCTTTAGATGAAGCCTTGGTTTGATTCCTAAGTATGAAGTGATCGGACCTCTGACCTCAGTAAAGCAAAATGTACAGTTTATCCCAATTTTTAATAGTTCGAGCTAATTATTCTAAATTTTGATAAATATGCATTCTAGCTCAAAAAACCCCTCTAGCATGATTGAAGAGTATGGTCACCCAACATGTTGTGAAATATAGGCTAACTAGAAGCTTGATTTACACCATCATACTCGACCCAAGTTATAAACTATTTGTGCAACGGCAGGCATGAGTTTTCTCTGTGTTAAAATGATGTTAATGCAAGCTCAAATTATACACTGAGCACCAAGCATTTTGGTTATATGTTAGTTGTATATATGAGTAATAGTATCATATCAACCCTTTTTTATTTTTGCTTGCAGTCTCTATGGTTATGTTTTCGACATTCGAGCATTCTGTAAATTTTCTGTATCGTAATATAATTAAAAGAAGGAAGGAGGATTGCTCAAGAGCTCAACAGCTTGGGGTAACATGTTTAGCTGGCTATACTGCGGGATCTATTGGTAGCATTATTTCTAACCCTGCTGACAACATTGTTGCCTCACTTTATAACAAAAAGGCCGATAGCCTCAAGCTGGTAACATCTCTTGATTAGATGTCTATTTCAGTACCTATTTTACACCATAACATGGTTCATTCAGGTTTAATGTTGCTCTTTCCTGTAATCAGGCTGTGAAAAGAATCGGGCTTGTGAATTTATTTACTAGAAGTCTTCCTATCAGGATACTGCTTGTTGGACCTGCTGTGACTTTGCAATGGTTGTTCTATGACACCATTAAAGTGTTAAGCGGATTGTAAGTTCATTTTGGCTTGACTTTTGGATAAGTAACTCGTATTTATTTTTGCATATTTTACATGATCTGTTGCCATTATTCCCTTCTTACACTTGAAAGTGTCTGAATTCGAATATTATAATTTTTTCATGTCCATATTGATGTCTCGTTCTGTTTGTCACTCCACTAAAAGCAAGTAAATAAAAGATTCAGATTAGTAGTAAATATTGCAATAATAACGTGTTGATGATTTTAAAATGATTCTTTCTTATTAATAATCTTTGGATAAGATTCCTAGAGTGGGCCTCATTGCCTGTTGATTACTCTGGCATGTTGCAACCTGCAACCCAACCGAAGGGTTCAAAAAATTGTAGAGGAGATAATTTATAGATTCCAGCAGATGTCCATAAAGAAGTATATACTAAATTCTAAACCAGTGATCCAGAATCTATTAATCCTCATCTTGGATTCCATTGCAAAACAGTACATTAAGGAATTTGGAAGCTCAGGTAGCTAGAATGAAAGTTGTAATTGGGTAAAATAAGCCTAGCCGAGCCCGTAAGTTAATTCGTGTATGAGGTGCCACTTCAGGCATATGTTCAGCATCATCACATGATTTGTTAAGCTGTCAAGGCATTTATATGGAGGGAGTCGGTTTAAAATATTTTATATATTAAAACAAGGTAATAGTCACGAGTGGAACGAATTTAGAAAGACGAAGGGTTTTTGGAGGCGGCGGTACTCTTCTCATGAAGATTAAGAAACTGTTACACTAGATCATGTTCCAATTAGAAAATATTTAAGCGGGAGTGGAAAATTGAAAGTAACGCTACAATGATGTACTCAACCTTTTCCCAATTATTTGGACCACATGATGAAGATTAAGAAACTGACACTAGATCATGTTCCAATTAGAAAAGATTTAAGCGGGAGTGGAAAATTGGAAGTAACACTACAATGATGTACTCAACCTTTTCCTAATTATTTGGACCACTATGATGATCTATATATATATATATGTATGTATGTATTGCCGGGTCTTTGTCATCTTTTGGAAATTTATTGCTTGTTGGGTGTGTTGTGTCAAAAAAACCATGTGCCAAAGGAGAGCTATGTTATATGGACTCGGGTACGTGTGTCACGTACGGGTATGAATTCACACGTCACACATGTCAAATCCAAGCAGAAAAATGCATGGAGACGGCTAAATATTTATTTTATTCTTTAGAGTAAAATAATGTTTTTATTTAATACAATGATCAAAATAGACATTTCACTCATTTGAAATAATAATGTAATAAAATGATATTATATTATATTATTCCATTTTAGGTGTTTGTCGAACCAAAAGTGTCGGACACGTATCCCATACCCATGTCCGAATAATATGTGTCGGACACGGGTACTTCACCTACTTTGGAAGAGTCCATGTAACTTATATGGGGAGTTCCACACCAGGTGATGGATTACCTTGGTTCACCTGGAGATGCACTAAGAATTTGGAGAAGGCCTTCGTCTTATCCTATATATTAGTTTAGCTACGCTGCAACTGGTGCATGAATAGAGCAAGGCTGCTTACGGTTAATGTCCTTTAGGGGTAATACTAGTAATGCTTAGATTCTGCTTTAAATCCAGTTTGTGGCTGTGAAATCATTGATTTATCGTATTACCAACTTCACCATCTGATTCATCCATGACATTCTCAGTCCTTTGGAATATGGATTACAAAATGTGAAACTTAAATATGGTTTTCTTTTCACTTCCTTTTCTGTCTCCCCCAGTGGAATAACACTGTGTTTACATGTAATCTTGCAGACCAACTAGTGGAGATGGTGGCACCGATATAGAAGGAAACAAAAAAGTCTAAGCTTGTGGAGACAGACTGCTGCAGTAAGGTATGTCTGTCTTAGTGATTATACAAGGATCACCACTCCAAGATTCAGAAAGGAGAAAATCATAACTTTACTGAAAGGGGGACATCCGTTGATTCTCTGCTTATTTGTTTCGGTTTTGCTGTAATTCGCGGCAGCCAGCAAGATTTTGGACTAGTTCTGGATTTTTGTCAAGGGGCCATTGCTCAGTGCAAAAGTTTTTTATATCGAGCTGCAACATGTGAGAACGTGGATTCAAGACTGTAGGTTTCCAAGCTTCGGTGTATATACTCTGGTTTAAATATCAAGTCTTCCAAAACTTTGATGCAGTTTTGATGCTAAAATATGCCTTTGTCACTGGTTGGTCATCCCTAGCTTGTGTCCCATACATTTAATTGACAAGTTTTTTTTTATGTCAAACTTGTCTTGCATTATTAATGGTTGAATAATTGTGCCTCTACATAGGCAAATGCAATTGAATATTATGAATCAGAAAGTATCAAATTTAAGAATGTTGAATTAAAGTACATTATTGAAAAATTAGTAATAGAAGTGTTCTTAATAATATTATTGTTACTAAACAAGTTAAGAATGTTTTACAGTAATTTTATGATAGCTCTCCTAATAAAATTATAATTTTTATTAAAAAAATAACCCCAAATGAACCCTTACAACAAGCCAATTCCCCATGCTGGCTCATCATCGTGAGCCAGAGTAGAATTAGCGGCCTCTTAGCAATGTCAATGCCAATCATATGATAATATAGCTCCTTCAACTCAAAGATGGTCAGAAATGTCTTATTGAAGTCATGAAATGTCATTCATATGATTAAGTAAATGAAATATACATGAAAATGTAATTAAAAAGAAAACTCATCTATTGAAGTCATAACAAAAATAATTATATATTTGTGATATTGGAAGAAACCACGATAATGAAGAGTAATCCGGAACCTTGAGGCAATCAACCATTCTGGCTTATTTTTGAGGTCTATTCCTCAAAATTGGGCAATTGGACAGAATACAGTAGTAAGGTGAAACTACCAAGGTGAATGGAGTTTTTTTCAGCTTGATGAAACTCTTTATTGGCTAGTTAGTAACAATATAATTTATTAATTTTATTTTCTAATTGGGCTGACAATTAAAAATAAATAAATTGGATAATCACAACTGCTCAATACTATGGATGCGAGGGGAAAAAAATAAATTTTTTCGGAATCAATTTCAATTTCAATTCACTCATATTGGTCTGATTAAAGAGAAGCCAAGAACCTTCCATATCAGAAGGTGTAATGGCCTCCCCAAATAACTGACCTAACCATTTTAGTATTCCGACTTAAAGCTAAATAGCAATGTGTCCCAAAAGTGAAAACCAAAAGTTAAAGAGTAAAATCCAGATCCTCACTTTTATGGGCCAAATCACACTCTCCAGACGACACGTCTTTAGCGGAAAAAACACAACTCACTCACGCGTAGATTTCAATCAACGATTCCCTCATCTCATAAACGATAGCATTGGGTTTAGCTGCTCTCAACTTGAAGACTCTCTGAATGACAGCCAATTCTATTGCTGTAGTGTCTGATCCACATAATGCAGTACAATCGTTTACCGTCAAACCAGCAGCTATCAAGTCACTTCTGAAGGAGGGTTGATAGTTCCTTCAAATCTTCAATGGATGTTTTAGGATGAACCTGCTCCAGCACCACATGACAAATTTCAACACATGCTTTATGTTACGTTAACATCTACTCTATTGGAGGATATAATTTCTTACCAAAAACTTCCTTGTTACTAAAAGACCAACCGACATGAAAAAAAAAAACTTCATGTGAAACACTCAGTCACATTCTCAGTCCTTTGAATATGGATAATCCATCTGATTCGTTTCGTCCATGACATTCTCAGTCCTTTGGAATATGGATTCAAGACTAGGTTTCCAAGCTTCAGTGTATATGCTCTGGTTTAAATATCAAGTCCTTCAAAACTTTGATGCTAATATATGCCTTGTCACTGGTTGGTCATCCCTAGTTTGTGTCCCATACATTTAATTGACACGTTTATTTATTTATTTATTTTATGTCAAACTTGTCTTGCATTATTAATGGTTGAAGAATTGTGCCTCTACATAGGCAAATGCAATTGTGTATTATGAATCACAAAGTAACAAATATAAGAATGTTGAATTAAAGTACATTATTGAAAATTTAGTAATAGAAGTGTTCTTAATATTATTATTGTTACTAAACAAGTTAAAAAGTAGTTTAGTTATGAAAAATAGTTTGTACAATTCATCATCAAACACCTATCATATTGTTTTACAGTAATTTTATGGCAGCTCTCCTAATAAAATTGTTAATTTTATTAAAAAAATAAAAGAAAATAACCCCAAATGATTCCTTACAAGAAGCCAATTCCCAATATTTGAATTAGTACCATGTTGCCTCGTCATTGTGAAACATTCTCTCTTTTTTCTTTACAAGCAGCCAATTCCCCAAATAATTTTCTCTTTCAGCCATTAAATTGAATAGATCAGAGTATAATTAGCAGCCTCTTAGCAATGTGATGCAATGAAATGCCAATCATATGATAATATAAATAAAAGATACATAAAAATATAATAGTAAAGAATAGCCCTTCAACTCAATGAGATGTTCATGGTAAAATTAATCCATCTCATTCATATGAACAAGTAAATGAAAGATGCATGAAAATGTAGTAAAAAGGAAAGCTCATCTATCTCTTGCTTCAATTCCTACCCTCTAAACTATCCTTCAAAAGTTAATTTTCTAATTCAAATCCAACCGTAGTTTGAAGTCTATGGTATTGGAAGAAATCAAATATTTATAATTATATTCGTTTTCAGGGAATGAGATGGCACTTAGCACTTATCATAAAATTAATCTCTCTCATTATAAGATTGATTTTTGTTGGAAAATTAGTTTTTGAAATTTTCTTAATAAAAAAGAGAAGGAAGAAAAAAGTGATTTTTATCAAATTTCCTCAGATTGGTCTGATCAACAATCAAAGAAAAACACAAGATACTTGTACAAAGTAACTGACCTGACCATTTAGTTTTCTGACTTAGAAAGCTAAATATTACTACATAATTTGCGAAGAACTTATACCAATTTCAAAATTAATGACACAATGCCCACATCTGAAACTCTAAAACAACATGAACATTTTATACCCAAAAGTGAACACCAAAATTAAGAGTAAATCCAGGTCCTCTCGCTTCTATGGGCCAAATCATTCCCCCTAAAAAACTCACGCGTAGCTTTCAATCAACGATTTCCTCATCTCATCAACGATGGCATTGGGTTTAGCTGTTCTCAACTTGAAGACTCTCTCAATGACAGCCAATTCTATTGCTGTAGTGTCTGATCCACAGAATGCGGTCCAATCGTTTACTGTCAAACCAGCAGCTATCAAGTCACTACCGTGGTTCACAGTCCCCGCCACCAAAGGGACCTGAAGGAGGGTTGATAGTTCCTTCAAATCTTCAATGGATGTTTCAGGATGAACCTGCTCCAGCACCAGTTTTCAGTTAATAAATGACAACATTACATGACAAATTTCAACACATGCTTTATTGTTAACATCTACTCTATTGGAGGATATAGTTTCTTACCAAACCCCCTCTATTGGATAAGGCACAGTAGCTTCCCACAACAGTATTATCAGCAATAGCGTGTCGAAAAACTTCTACCCCAAGAACATCCGCAATCATCTCCTCAGTTTCCTGATAAAAATTATTATACAAAAGAATTATATATTAGCATCCTGAATAAAAATAGGCTAAATAGCAAAAAAGGAAGTATTGCGTTGTATAAATTATCTCACAAATAGCTTCTTTGCACTCTTCATAGTGCATACCCATACAACATAAACTTCCTTGTTACTAAAAGACCAACCGACATAAAAAACTTCATGTGAAACACTCAGTGAAGTGAAGTAGGGCATGCAAATATTATATACATGCGCAAATATTACAGGCAAGAGAGGTCAAAAACAGTTCATCCACCCCACCAACAAGGGAGGGGAAAACAATATCTTCTATATATTGATTAGCGATCATAATTTAAGTTCCAGAACAATATTAATTCAAAAAAACATTTATTCCGAGAGCAGACAGCTTTACCTTGTCAAGATCAGGGTGCGTAAGAGCAACATGATCATTGCATGCTATGCAATTCCCTAAAGCAGAGAGCTTCTCATCAATGCGCTGAATTACAACTTCATCCGGTAGACTTTCCCGCAAGTGTTGAAGTTCTTAAGTGAGAATAGACATATATAAGTGGGATCCACAAGTCCAAAAATTAATGCCATCAAATATAGGAACACAAATTTTTAAGAGTTAGTAAATTTAGTACGCACGAAAACGATGACAAATCAACTATAAGTTCACCAATACTAATACCATGTTGAGTGTAATCTGAGAAGCATAAATACAGTTACGACATGACAAGGTTTTAACAGAACTCTTTAGTTAGTAGCAGGGCTCAGATTTGTGACCGGCTATCAGGTCAAGATTTGAAAGTTGATTTTAGGTTAACGAATGAAATTGTTGACGTAGAAAGTTCTTGCTAAAGTTCTTGCTAAAGAACACATCAAAGTTTCCCTAACCTTGAAACCTATTCTAGTTTGTTTTACTTCTTGTTTCCTTTAAAAGCAGCAATAGTAGTAAAGTGAAACAGATGACCTAACTTTAGACAAAGTCTTTTGTTCTTGTGTGATGTTACCACAAGTGGTCACAATTTATTCGTCTAACGACCTATGACTTCTACTTTGTTCCTTTCAGAATCCTAATCAAACTGATGCCAAAATCAATTCTAATTTCGTTCGCAATGACAATAACCCTAAATGCATAAAGTTTGTTCAAATCAGTCACAATGAGTACATATATGCATTAACAGATGGACAAAAAAAGCGAACGCAAACATACATCAATTCAACTTATTTTCCTGTCAAAACCAAGAGATATTGCATCATATAACGGTATTACCTTGATCGGTGATGGTGTGAGGCAAGAGAAGCCCATTTTTGTTTCCTGCAATGAAAATCAAGCAATCAAATGAGAAATGGAAGGTATGTCATGTAAGACCACAAAAGATTTCAAAATTCTCACCAGCACAAAGCCGTCCGATAACACTAGTGCCTCCAATGGAGGTTTTTACCACAGGAATAACACCTGCTAATTCAGCCTCAAACGTGCTGCACACAAGACACTCTCTAGTCATATCTTATTAACCCAATTAATAATCGAAACTATAAATTTATTAAAAGAAACAAAAATGAAATTCCCCAACATTCAGAGTTTCAAACAAACCTGTAGAAGTTTTCTGAACCTCCAATTGCTACCAAACAGTACGCGTTGGTCAGTTTCGAGAACGCCCCAATTTCACATTTGTTCTCAAATTGAAGCCCTTCACAATAATTAACAACAATTATACTAGGCATGTAGAGAAATTGAATTTTTTTTTTTTAAAAACTGCAATAGCTGTTCTTCCAATAACCAGACATAATAGTATGCGGGTAAATCAATGTAAAAGCATACATGTGTGTATTGTGTGTGTGTGATGAGTCCTCTGAATAACTTACTAGTTGTCATGATGAACAAGACAATGAGAATCTGCGAAAACATGATTGAATTCAGAAAACATGTAAGAAATAGCAAACAACATTGATTGCAAAAGACTCTTGAAAATTAGAACTAACACATGTAAAATTCCGTTTTTTATTTTCTAACAATGTCAAACGAAGAATGGGTAATTGAAATTTTGGGAAAACTAGGCATCATCACCAAAAGAATATAACATAAAACCCTAATTTGCAAAATTATTTTTTGGTAGAAGTTTAGATTATCAAACCCTATGGAGTCTTTTCTTCGCGAACGCCTGAGATTAACACGTACAAACAATAATTATATATATAGGTCTTCAAAAGAGGATCGATTTCAACAGTACATTCTTATTTTTGGCCTTGCGCTTCAAGAAACCCTTTTTTAAGAAAGTGGGCTTTCAAGAAACTTGATGATCAAGAATTTAAGAAATCATAACCTACCCGGCCGTCTGTTGATTTTTGACTTGGACCTCACTGGATTGTGGAATGTTGAGTGAGATTTGGAATTTAAATAGTAACGCTTTGTTTGAATCAATTATTTTAGGATTTGGAAAAAGAATCTTAATTGAAATAGGAATTGGAATTTAAATGGAATTCTATTTAAATATTTGTAACAAATTGGATTTAAAATATAATTTTGAATAAAAAAAATACAATTTTATTTTTGTCCTTATTTAAATAATACGGAGTAAATGAAATATTTATTTTATTGCAAAATATATTCTAAAGTTATAGTAAATAAATAAATAAATAAATAAAATTATTAAAGATAATATTAGCAATATTGGCTTTTATATATATATATATATATATATATATATATAAATGACTTATAAATTCTGAAGAATTGAATAATATGATTTTTACTTATAAAATTGGGCTTTATTCGTTTAAATTTTTAAGCACACAAATACTAAAGTATTGGATTCCATGACTTTTGGTTATTAGTAAAAAAAAATTCCAAAGTGTTGGATCAATTGTTAAACGCAGACTTTTGGTTATATAATTCTGTATTGTGGTAGATCAACTTTTGGTTATACAATTCTGTACTACGATAGATCAATCTGTTCGAGTATACCAAACAAAAAAACTGGTGTGAATTATGGAGGATTGCAACAATTTTGTATTGTAGATTTTTCGAATACAAAAGTGGTGGTAGATTAATTTATTAAACGCAATTTAAGATACTAGGGTATACCAAACAAAAAAAATTGGTGTGAATTATGGAGGATTGGAGTATGAGTTTTGGTTAAAAAATTCTGTATTATACACACACACATTAAAACAATGACGTAGTAGATATTTAATAGGATAGAGTTTAATAAGAAGAAAGGTTTAACAACAAGAAACGTGGGTCAAGACAAATCCTATTTCCAAATCCAAATCCCATCAAATCAAGCATTTCAAACAAAGCGTAAGGAATTTAAAATGGAATTTTAAGGGATTCCCTTTGCAATTCCCAAATATGAAAAAAAAAAATTAAATAAATTAGTATAAAAATGGGTGGAATTTGATTATATTTGTGAATTAGTTTAGTTGAAATTATAACTTATTGTTAAAGGGTTCTTGTTTCAAGTCGGATGCAGATGGATAGGGTTTTTGACTTAAAACACACAAATAAAATTTCATTTCAAATTTAATTTTTTTCCTGTTCTTTTCTTTTCTATTCTAAATTTCAAGGCTCAAAAGAAATGAAATGAAAAATAGAAAGAACAGTGAAACAAATGAAAACAAATTTGATTTTTTAATATTTATTTGGTTAGGATGAAATTTTATTTAAGAAAATTATAGAAAAATAGCATATTATAGTTTAGACACCTAAATTGTTATTATTTTATAAAATTAATAAAATAATAAAAATTCATTAGTACTAATGTATATAAACAAATAATAATGGAGTTTTCAATTAATTTAGACCTTCAGACTACTAATAATTTCATTCATATATAATAGAAAACAATTAGAAATGGAAGTCAAGTTAATTAAAACTCTATGAATATAAAATTATTGCTGAACTGCAATTCTTTGAATTCAGTGAAAAAAAGTGTTGTTGGTCTTCAAATATGGATGATGTTGTTGGGGGTAAAATAATATCAACAAAGTTTTAGGTAAAATAAGAACATAAAATAAGAAGATGTTGCTTTCACATGAAAATAAAATTTCCATTCTTTTGTGCGAGAAACGTTTTGAAAAGAAAAAAAAAAATTCTATCTAACCAAACATTAAAAAAATAATAATAATAATAATAAATAAATTTAAAATTTTATACTTCCTTTCTTTTTCCTTGATTCTTAAACGGAGTCGAAAATTTTAATTCCAAATCACTGCATTTTCAACCGATGGGTCGCTAAAATGTTTGGACCTAAGCCCACTAAAATTTGGATTTGCCTGCGTTCACAAGCTTTGCTATGTATAGCAGCATTTGGTAGGATGGTAGTGACTTTTATAGATTTATTATTATTATTATATATTATATATTATAAACTCTCTCAAAGATGCTCCTGAGATAATTTAATCATAATTTGGATCTTATTAGTTACTAATTTATCCAGATCAACTTGCAGTCATGTTGTATGAGTTAATTAGTACTCTGAAATTAAAACAAGCTATGAACTCAAATATACATAGGCTCCAGTGTAAAATAGCTCTTTGGTGAATATAACTTATATAAGGGTTGGTTTGATTGTTATTTTTGGCTATATTTTCATTTATGTAAAAAGGGTAAGTTTTGAAAAGTTGTGGCATTTTCGTCAAAACAAAAACATTATTGAAAGGCCCAAGGGAAAGAAAAAAAAAAATGGCTTGGGCATTTTGATACTGACATTTTTAACAGCTCACATTTTTTTTATTCGAATGGCTCGGGCATTTTGATACTGACATTTTTAACAGCTCACAAATTTATTATTCAATAATTCTGATCCTCTACTTTTTAAAACGATAAAAAGCTTTTCACTTTGAAATTTATTCAAATGATGGGATTTCACTAATAATATCACTTTTTAGTAATACGAGTGACTAATAATAAAGTTAAAAAGCTTTAGGCATGGGCTCAAGCCGAATATAGGAATAGGCATTCGAGCTCATTTGAGCTCAAAACTCGAGGAAACCCTAAAAATTTTGAAAATTCATTTTACTCTCTCTTTTAGTAACAGAGATTAAAATTGTTGCTCAACATTTGACTTGTATACTTAATAAATGAATACGAGTCAAATTTATGAATATAAATATATATATATATATATATATATATAACCCTAAAAATTTTGAAAAATCATTTTACTCTCTCTTTTAGTAAAAGAGATTAAAATTGTTGCTCAAGATTTGACTTGTATACTTAATAAATGAATACGAGTCAAATATATATATATATATATATATATATATATATATATATATATATTATGTCAAATAATACAAGAACTCACACCACACATTTGTAAGAGATTTGAACCTTTGATTTTTTACTTTAAAAGTAAGAAAGTACCCTCTACATTATGTAAAAAGCTGAACTTTCCACTTTGAAAACGATACTAGTTAAGTTACAACACTAACGAGTTATAGAGGCATGTGGCCATGCAAACAAATCCAAAAATCAATTCATTGATGGTGTATACTTAAAATATATCCAAAAAAAACTGTTCATTGATATATATATATAATCAAATTTAGCTCATGAGCTCAAAACTTGAGCAAACCCTAAAAAATTCGAAAAAACATTTTATTCACTCTTTTAGTAAAAGAGATTAAAATTGTTGCTCAAGATTTGACTTGTATATTTAATAAATGAATACAAGTCAAATTTACGAATATATATATATATATATATATTATGTTAAATAATATAAAAACTCACACCCCACATAGAAATTTGAACTCTCGATTTTTTTACTTTAAGAGTAAGAAACTAATAAAAAGGTTGAACTTTCCACTTTAGAAAAGATAGTATTTAAGTTACAACACCATGTAGTTATAGGAGCTAGGGGCATGTTGGTATGGAAACGAATCCAAAAATGGGTTCAGTGATATGGTTTTCCAGTGGTCCTTCAACAAACTAGCCCTTATTGTTTAATAATATCTATCTCATCATCATTCTGATTTAGGTATAACCGTAGGTAATGATAGGGAAATTTATGTATAAAGAAATCAAACATTATCTGTATTTTTATTCGTTTTCATGCACCAATATAATAATCACAAGATTATATAATATTAGTAGTAAAATAGACATTTACCAAACAAATGACTCCAATCCCCACTAAAACTACACCACTCCTCTTCACCTCAACTTTTCAAACGAAGAAAGATCAGTTTGATTGGAAATATATATTTTCCACTCATTTTACATTTGACTCTAACCCTCATCTCATTCATAAACAAATGTCCCCTCCAATAAATTTCACCCCAGTAGTTCTCAGTTACTTCAAGATCTACCACTCATATATAAAAAAAGTAAAATAATAAGCGGAAAGAAAGTCGGACTCATCAGACTGCATTTATGCGAGTGGAGCGTGGACTGTATCACCACTCTATAAAAAATGATATGAAGACCTACCATCTGATAGAGTCTTATTGAGCCAAGCAACTCTGTACTGGAACAAATGCCAAAATTCACACATTCACAAAATATTGTTTAGAAAGTCAGGTAATAAACCTTGTTCTAAATAGGCTATTAATATGTACATTAATGGATACCATCAAGCAGATTAACTGTGAGCACCAATTTTGTGTCCCACTAGCGTCTAGCCGCCTCACTCAGGTGCCTGCTTAGAATCAAGTATGGAGTTCAAGCTCACAGCTTCGGGGACGTGGGATGGAAACCTAGACCATAAGGGTGAATCACAGCGGGTAGAAAATTATCCGAGCTCCTTATTGTTTGGTAAGATAGGAAATTCATAAACAGAAGGCTGATGAAACTTTTGGTCATTTCAAATCACATCAAACATAAGCCAGAACAAACCAATTGACATATTCAAATCAAAATCAATAGACAAGATAAGTAAGAAAAATAATAAAGGCATTTGATGCACACACACGAACGCCCATAAATATTGGAAAAGATACCCATCTTCTACCAGTTGGTATTTGGATTTCCAATTACAAAGAACCTATAGGCCATGTCTTGCATATACAACTTACCGTGTTTCCATGCTTGTCAGACCGAACTTTCACAACAGCAGCAACCAAAAGCTCTAGTTTTCAACACCACCCACGATTACAGTTGACTAATGAAGAATCTTCTTGGACATTCGCTAACTTTTAGAATCTAAAGGCACTCTATTCTTACAATGCTAAGAGAAAGAATGGTTCTCGGCTTGCCCAAGTCATTGAGGCACACCGAGGTAGTTCCCAAACTTACTTGTGTGAGATACTCTCAGTTTCCATATTAAGGATTTCTCCATCATCATCTGATTATGAGATTGCCACTACAAACATAGTATGTACTGCTGAACCCTATAGAATGTCACATTCCTAATTATTTGATCTCTTCTCTATCAGTTTCTTTAATTACCATTATGTACCACACGCTTAAAAACTTCTATTCCTCAAAGGAATAAAAAAAGACAAAAGTGTAAGGCACATAACATTTAGATTGGATAAGGCTACAAAATAAACTTGAAAACTTGACTTAGGTTGCCAATAGAATCAAGCCCGGATTCTTTTTCAATCATAAATGATTTTCCATTTTATCTATGGTATTGGCTAGAATAAAACCGTCATACTAGCTATAAGAGATTACCGGATGGCATTTTTCTCATTATGTTGTTATGACCTTGGCCCTACTATTTAGCTGGCACAACATAGTCAGAATTCACAAAGTAGTAAAATATGGGTTGTAAAGGGATAGAAGAAAATGTAGACAGTAACACACATGGCATTATGGTAGCCTCCTTCACCCATGGGATAGATAAGACTATTGTCAGCGAAGTACAAACAAATACTAATATTTGATTATAGACAGAATTAACAAGACCTGAAGCAGGTTGAAGATTCTAAAGGGAAAAAAAATCATTTATAATGGAAGAGATGAAAATGGTAAACTCATACTTCATGAACATTGAGGGATATTGCATACAACATCTTTGAACCCCCTTTTTGCCGTAGGAAGTCAATTATACAACTCATTTTAGATCATGAACACAACAAATACAAGTGAAATAAAATAGAGAATGGGAGAAATTAGATAAAAATAAAATTTACAATTTGAGAAGAAGGATCAGAACCATATCTGAAAAGCTAGTGCCTTCTTGAAGTGTTGACAGAAGGTTCCACTGAGATCGCAGCTTTTTCCAACCTACTGACAGCTCAGTTTCGCTGTACAATGAATAACAAGACATGAGAGTTTCATTTTAGACCCCAATAATTTTGATTTGGTATTTTGTTCACAGCCAGCCTATCTTTCCTTTCCTTCTCTACATTTATTAGTAATAAGAGAGAAGGGAGGGTAGGGTATGTTCCCATCCTAGAAAGATGAGCCTTATCGATGTACAGTTTTCACCACACGAGGTAAAAAACGCCATGAATCATAATATACTGATGAATTGACTGCAGTCGATGAAAAGTATCTTTCATAAGATATAACAACTTACTCAGCCGCTATAATAATGCAATTTTTGGTAACTGCTACAAATCAAGCTTTCACGTAGTCCATACCATTGCGCTTCCGTTTGTTAGACCTAGAGAAGAAGCATATCTGAGCCCACGTTTTCTTCGGCTTAACTGGCTGTGATTTTATGTCCTTCTTTGCAACAAGTTCAGCCATATACTGGACAGCTTCCTGAGGAGCACAAACCCATGGTTAACAATAAAACAAAAGCTAAAGACCTCATGTAATACAAAGAAAACTTACCACTGCACCCATTTCAGCTACACTTCTTGGCGGAACTTCCAGAGGATTTCCCTCCACATGTAAAACATGTAGTCTAGTTAGCATCCTAAAGGAGTCTGGAAGAACTCGTATCTGGTTATTGCTAATATCCAACTCTTCAAGCATCTCAAGGTTTCCAATAGACCTCGGTAGTGATTGTAAGTCGGCAAAATTGTTGCTAATGTTCATCTTAACAAGTGTAGTGGCAAAGCATAAGCTCTCAGGCACAGACTCAAGTTCGTTGAAACTTACATTGAGCTCCCTCAAGCTTGATAGGGACGACATCGTGGTAGGCAATTGCCTGATGTTATTGTAACGCACAGACAGAATTTCCAGAGATCCAATTCTCCCTACAGCTTCTGGAAGGGCTTTAAGACGGTTATAGTCAGCATGAAGCTCCCTGAGTGAAGAACAATGACCAATTGTGTGTGGAAGTTCTTCGATGTTATTAGTCTCCACACTCAATTTCTTGAGGCTTGCAAGAGATCCAATGGGCTCAGGGAGCACAGAGAGATGATTTGAGCTCAAATCAAGCTCCTCAAGACGGACTAATCGGCCAAATGTAGGAGGCAGAGAGATTAACTGATTAGCCCTCAGGTCCAAAAAGACTAGGCTAAGAAGATCTCCAATTGAATCTGGGAGTTCACTTATCCTGTTTGAATGCAAATCCAATTTTGTCAACGACGAAAGCCCTCCAATCGTGGCTGGTAAGGCCACAATCCGATTCTCAGACAAGTCTAGGGTGATCAAACTCGATAACTTCCCTATAGAATCAGGGAGCCAATCCACTTGGTCCATCAATTTGTTCTGAAGATTGAGATCCCGAGTGCCTTTCTTCGAAGATACTTCAATCAGACTAGCGAGCTTTATTAGACTCAATTTCTCACCATCTACACCTACAAAAGCAAAACATTTTTTTTTACATAAAAACAAAGCATTCGAATAAGAGTAGCACAATAAAACCTTTTGTTCAGTCTTTATTCCAATTATCAAAATTTTCAAAATTCAATAATATTTTCAGATTAGAACAATCATAGAGTAACATAAATGTACGATAACCACCACCAAAACCCAGAAACACATGAACCAATGTCAATGTAGAGAAGGATTCAGCTCACCTAAAATGCTGGGAGGTTTTAGAGTCGAATCCAAGATCTGGGGTTTAGACAAATCGCTAGATCGAAGTCCACCGCCAATTCCATCACCGTAGAATGAGGCCTTTGCTTTCTTCAAATAAGTGTCATCTCTAGTGAACAATTCCGAAGATTTAACAGGTTCTTTGTCCTGATATAAACTCGACGAAGTGGTAGTAGAAGTAGTAGCAGAAGCAACAGATGAGTCGAAACCACCACCAGAAAACGAGGCTGAATTCGTCGAAGGCAGACTGCTCGAATTCATGGACGAAGTGGAAGCGCCAAAGTAACTGGATTGGTGAGAATTTGAGCCGGAGGGGACACATTTCGAAGCTCTCTGAATCAAATCATCGAACAGCGAGTGGACATTCTCGAGATCGAGCAATTTCATAGCCTCCCTCTTCTGTTCTTTGCTTTGATAATAAACCAAATTCTTCTGCATCTCTTGCAACACCATGAACAGCTCTTGGGGCACCTCGGTGCTCTTCGTCTGCCTCGCAATGGCCTCCAGTCTCGACTGGTCTTCCTTCTCCACATTTCGTATCAATGTCTTCGCAGCTTCAATCTCATCGATTCCAGGTCTCGCCGGCAAAGATCTGTGAATTCTCATGATCTCTGCCACCACTTCGTCAACAGATTTCGCAGAAAATTCCATTTCCCTCTCAATCAATCCCTATAATTTCCCAAACATCAAGAATTAGCAACACCCAGCACAAAAACAGTTCAATCACCCAAAGGGCTCGAATTATTGCTACATCAAAAGCAAAGCCAGATCAAGAACAAGAAACAAACAGAACAAACTGAATCGATTCTGACTAGACAAAATCAAAGACAGCAAAGAACGTTATGAATTAACTAAATAAAGCCAGCAAAACGAAACCCATTTTCGGTTTCCTCCAAAAGCAGTCAAGACCACATCATGGAAGCAAAACAACGAACACACTAAAAACACTCTGAGAAAACAAAAGTGAATAAGGAACAAACGAACCTTCTTCTTCTCTGCAATGGATCAGCAATGCTTGAGCTTCATATTCTGTTTACATGTAGTCTGTGGAACAAAGGGAGGTTATAGTGCTCTGAGATGCTTTGTTCGTACTCTGGAAATTCGAGTGATTTCCATAGTGAATATATATATGTATACATATACGTACAGTCTGCTCCATTACATATCTGCTATTTGCCAGATTTTTAATTTTATTAAAAATAAAAAAAATAAAAATATGTTCCGATAATTTGATCCAAAACACCGTGAACTCGATTATGACAGATAGCTTATCAATAACATCAGCACTCTCTTTTGCTGTCTTATACACTCGACTCAATACCCGTAGTGCACTCTGCTTTTTGGTGCAATAACAGAACTGCCACTGCTGGTAAAAGAAAAATAAAATAGCAAAAGAATATCGCGTCAAAAAGCTCCTCTTTTAGGTTTGTAACTTTGCATAATTAAGAAATAAAAAGTCAAAAATAATAAGAGTCATAATCATAAATTAGGAAGAGGGGACTCAAATATGGACACATCTATTTAGAGAGATAAATTTAAGAAAAAAGTATTAATTTAGGAACGAATTCGGACAGTTATTGAATTCAATCCGTAATGATATCATTTATGAAAACTCTTTAACCCGTTCACATAAATTGAATTTGGTTACTGTCGAATTTGATTCTTAAACATGTGAAAAAAATAGTGAAATAATCGAAAGATTTTTTGTTACATTTTAAAAAAAAAAAAAAAAATTGCTTTCAAATCTAAACCAAGTAAACTTCTAAAATAGTGGTTTCACAATATCTCTTCACTCTATTTTTGCTATTGATTTTCTTTTCATTAACATAATACTGTAAAATATTTATTTTATTTTCATTATCTAGAAGATGAAAAGTTATCACTACACTCTTTTCTACTTACTCTAAAGTAAAAAAAATCAATGGCAACAATTTTTTTTTTTTTTTTTCTATTGCATCTTCGGAGTAAGCAAGGGCATACAGGTGAATGGGGATAACGACAAGAGCTGAGCTGCAATGGGAGGCTAAAGTGGCATATCTGTAATAAAACGGCAATCGGTTTTTCATTTATTTTTTTATCTGGATCTTTCTAAAATTGGTTGCTTTTCATCTAACTGACAATAAATGCATCCACGTTTGGTTGGCGGACACGTGTACTTCTCTCTGTGTCCAGAACCGGTACAACTATATCCAGCTGGCACAGCTCTCACTCACTCACTCACGCCATAACCGTTTCTTCTCTCTCTCACTACACTCTTTCTCTCTCCTCCTTTTTGCTGTCCTGAGTTACGCTAACATGTGGGCGCTTTCACATGTCCTGCTATGAGCTGTCCCTCCTTTTTTCAGTTAAGACTAATGCTACCCTACGCTCTTCCTCACTTTTCCTTACCATGCACTCCCCTTCCTTCCCTCCCTCCACATGTTGAGACCAAATAATTATTGAAACTTCGTTTTTGTATTTCGAATACACTTCAAATATTACTCAAAGTAAATTTTTAATCTTATAAAATTTGAAATCAATACACCATATTTTTTATTAGATTAATAGTATTTGTGAAAAGACAAAGTCCACACATGATTTGATAAGCGAGTATGTGGTGTTCAGTCCACATTAACAATCAGTATGTATTCCACCATCCCTGAATTGATAATTAAAGAAGTGGTTTTCAGTCCACACTAACAATCAGGATGGAATGCATTACATTTCACTGGTAACGACCTAAGTATTGTCCATGGGATAAAGATTCTCCAAAGAGGCAAAAATGCCAAGAGAAAATATATATATGTACTTTAATAAAAAATAAAAAAAATCCTTCAAATAAATTTTCAAATTGAAGTTTTGAACACAAACTAAGCTAATAAAGACCAATGGATACTAGGGTAGATGATATAAACTCTCCTCAAAAGGGAGGTATCTTGATCCACCATTGAATTGAAAACTCCAGCCAGTATGATTGAACTAAAAATGTCACAATAGTGTATCCCCAATCCAACCATGCTTTACAACAAATAAAGAAACAAGTCAGAAAAATCATGTATCAGCTTCCTAATTCTTGGGGGATTGTATAATCTCTTTATTTATTTAGATTACAAATTTATGACTATATATCTACACACCCTTAATTTAATTTAATTTATTTATTTTTCAAGGTTTCTAACTGAATAGTAGTAGTAGATACAGAGGGCAGGCAGCACATAACAGTGTCTTGGGAGCGAGCAAAGCCACCTTTTCATCTGTAGATCTGTTCATTTCCAAGGACATGTTAAGACCTGCCTTGTGCAATGTTATTATTACATGCTCCATTACCCTGGTTAAGATGGCTTCCCTTATCCACCAGAGGGCTCACTCGGGGTTGGTTCAACGTGATGGTGTGGGCTTCCAACAGCGGTTCTGCTTTGACAGACCAGACAAAGGATCAACTTGAATTCTTGGTTTTTTTACACTCAACCTTCTGCAACAAAACTACCAATGACTACCTACAATGGAACCAGATGTTAACATTAGGGCTATAAGAGTTCAAGCACTGAGAAGCAAGCTCATAACACAAGGGCTATACAGATATCATATCACTATCATTACTAGGACGCAGTTACAATATTGACTAAATGTGCTGTTTGGACACCGTTAAGATGGGGGCTCATTTCATTGTCATTTCGTGAAATTCAACACATGATCCCGTGTCTCCAAGAGATGAACTAAATTAAAATTGGGTAAAAAGGAAAAAACTGGTTATTTCACATGAATCAAACTGCTCTGAAAGGACAATATATTATTTATAAATCTTTTAACCATCACAGAAGTGGACATGAACAACCCATTGAGGTTGTAAACAAGATTTTAGCAGGTGAATGAGATTCGTTTTAAAACAAATCAAAACTTTTGAAAACAAAAGTTTAGCATGGATGTCAGGGAAGAAAGCATCAGTGCAGGGGAATTATGAGATCTGAATTGAGAAACCAAATCATAATCTTGGATAGGAGTAAGGACGATTATATCTTAGAAGAGAAGGGAGTATGCAGGAAATATATGTATTCTAACCTCATCAATTAAATTGTAGTACTGAGCACATTTTTTAGAGAGGAAGAAACATTAATTGCATGGTAAATAGCAAACGAACCTGCACAGGGGAAGCTGCAGTTAAAAGACCTGCCACACCACCACCTAAAACATGACCATCTGACCCCGCTAATAATACACTCAACCCACCAGTTCTGCTTCGCTGACCACCAAACTCCGAGAACAGAAATGATCCAGTAAGAGACAGGATTTCAAATCGGCCCTGCATAACCAGCATATATATGAATGTCATGTATGATTTAACATGTTCAGCAACTATACAACTTTAGAGACTTTTATGAAACTTCTGGAGTAACCATAATCATCAGCCACTTGTTTACCTTAACACTTAAATTAACAAGTGATATAAAATAATATTATGTCAACATAAGTCAAGCATAGATTAAACAAAAAAATAAAGTAAAACTACTATTAAATATCTATTTGATTCGGCATGGGGGTTGAACTATGTTGTTAAGATTTTGAGAGAAATTAAGATGAAACCTTTGTGCTTTTTATAAGATGTGAATGTCCTATTGGCTTTACAATTGTTCACAATATGGTCATTTAGGTTTCAAAATGTGACATCATATATACATTTTTATTAACCTACTGGAGATCATGGTGATGAATTCATGTTATTGTATTCAAATGTTATGAAAGCACAATGAATGACTACGGTCAAAGGTGTACAATAATGCTCAGTGAGTTGGTTCAAATTCTAAGGGTTAGTACTACGTGTGGGACTAATCATAATATGGGGTAAGGGAAAGGGGGAGGACTGAGATATATCCCTTACATACTTAATGACCAAATCTTAATATTAAGAAAAATGATATAATTGATGACTATAAAACCCCCGACAAAAATTGACTCACATAAAAATTTGATGTGGCTACCCTAAAATTTCAACTCAAAAGACAATTCATTCCATAATATGACTATCCTAAAATCCTTCCAACTCAAACACAATTCTTTCCATAACCTGGTTATCCTAAAATTACATCTCATAGACTCATACATGATTCTTTCCATCTCTTTTTCCTTATATATATATATATATATATTTAGAATAATAGAAAAACAAACTCTTTCCATATTTTTTTTTTTCATTTTCACTAATTGGTTTGCATATCTCTGGAATGTATTGGAATGCTTCTATAAGAATTCTATATAAGAAATCAGTTTCTACAAAATCTAGAACAGAAATTTCATTTGAAGTTTTGAATATCAACAAAAATCGATCATTGAAGAACCTAAATTCTTATTTTATTGATTTGTTTGTGTTTTCTTTCGTAGTTATTGTTTTATTAAATTTTTAGTTGTTACTTTCTTTGAGAGTTATTTTTGTTTTTTTCTTTTTGGCAAGTAAAGAGAGTTATTTTTGTTTAACTTATTTTTGGAGAGTTTTGTTTTGGAAGGCATCTTATATTTTGGTCTTAAATGACCTACTTCTACTTTGCCACATGAACTCAGTGAAGTATCGGCTTTGTATTTGTCAGGCCAAATAGCACACAACTCTAATATTAAAACTAAAAGAGTGAAACTTTTGAATTTCACTCCTAACGTTTACCTATATAAGCAATTATATGAGATACTATATATCAAAGTATAACGAGTTTAACGATCTAATTTTAGGGAGCCAATTATAATGTAAAGCAACAATCAGTCCTAAAGCTGTATCTCATTATCTACGCTGGCTGCCTACATGTAAAAGACTTATAATCCACGACGGACCAATGGAAATGCTCATCAGTAACCTCCAACTAAAAAGCAGCAACATTGCTTGGTATTGGTTTTCATTCACTTCCTTCTTGACATTAATTAAATACCACCATAGTTAAGATCCCTATAAGGTAAATGTGAATGTATATTATATTACATATATCCATCTTATATATCAGGAAATGCTTCTCCCATAAAGTTCACAATTTATAAGCAATGATGCAGTATATAGTAATATAAATTAACACAAACCTCATAAGTTACAGATCCACCAGATGTGGCTGCTTGACGGAGTGTTACATTGGATATGGCGCCATTTGCTGACAAGATGCAGACAGCACGTGTACCATTTTGAGAAAACGAAAATATTTTTGCAGATACATCCTGAGAAGCAAAATCACAACTATTATTTTAGATGCTTGGCATTTCACAACAATATACATTTGGAAAGTTAAAAGGTGCTAAAAGTTTAACATGAAGAGCAAGTAATATATAATCAGCAGTGATATGCATCTATATTCTGTTACCTGATTTATGTGGTACGAAATCCAATTAGACATGGAAGTGTGGTTATAAAATGAAACCTATTCAAGGATAAAAGGGAAGTTTGACGGAAAAATATGGCTAGCACTCAACAAATTCCAATGCCATATATATGCGGTGATACTAACAAATGTTAATTCCATGCATCAGGCAACTCACAGGCAGTAACATGCACAAAAGAGAAGCAATGTCCAGTTAGCACAGTAAAAGTAAAAAGACCTCAGATGAAAACATAAGAATCCAAGAGAGAGATCCTTTGGCTATCATGAGAGACTTAAAAATAAATAAATAAATAAAACACGCATGTCTATATGATTGCATGCCCGCGCATACTATAATAAGCAACAAAGGTAGTGCTCATGACTCTTTGAACCATCATAACATTTTGTAGTATTATGAATGTTGCATTATTTCTTTTGATAAGTAAATTATGAACATTACATTAAGGGAGCTCATATTCAAAGTCCATTGGGACAAATATCGCTTTACATCATGTCAAATCAATTATAATATGTGTATCTTCCCCTCAACTCACCTTGACAAGCTTTAATACCTGTAGGCGTCACATACGCGCTACCCATGAAATAAACCCCATTAGTCAGAAAAATATGCCACGTCAGTCCCAAACGTTCAAACACCATCCACATCAGCAAAAGGTCAACCAAACCTAAGACACATTCATGGAGTAGCCAAGACCTTGATGGTAAACCACTCCAGCTCAAAGACCATGAGACAACCCCCTCCCCCTTCTTTTCTTTTCTTTCAAGTTCACCAAAACCTCGACGAGGCAATCCTTAAGTCCAAAACTATCGGACAGCCTCTAAGGTCCATCAAAAACCTTGAGGATGGTACCGCCATGCCCAAAACCCTGAGGCACTTCACAAATCCATCAAAACCTCGAGGAACAACTCCCAAGTTCAAAACCCCAAGACACTTCTCGGGTCCACCAAAACCTGGACGGGGCAACCCTTAAGTCCAAAAGTCTGAGAAAGCCCCTCAGGTCTATCAAAACCTCGATGGAGCAACCCTCGAGTCCAAAACCTTGAGACAGCCTCTCAGGTCCATCAAAAACCTTGACTGGTGTGCTCCCGTGTTTAAAACCCCGAGACACTTATCGGGTCCATTAAAATCGTGGGGACCAACTCTTCAAGAACAAAACCCTGAGACATTCTCTTAGGTCCAACAAAACCTCAAAGGAATAGCCCTCAGGTCCCGACCCCAAGGCAGGCCTCCAAAACCATCAAGGTTATGAAAGCTCCCCTCGAGGATAGACCTGCTACCAAAGATAAACTTACCAGGACAACAAATTAGTCTTATGTCAAATATCATGATTATTAACTTACTGTTTTCTTTCTTTACAGAACTCAAGTTTAATAATTAAGCTACATTTTCAGGAAAAGCAATGAAGATAAAAATTACAAAATTCAGGGGGGGCACCTCTCCAGCTTTTACTGTGATGACGTGTGGTGTGAATCCAATCCCAGCTGACCCTGCAAAACAATATCTGATAAAAACTCTAGAAATACTAATATGACTTGCGAAGGGGCTGCAACCACCAGTCTCCAATATAAATAGCAAAGAACGTGATTACAAGTTGGTGGAGAAACACAAACATACATGTGTAGAATGTGATCAGAAGATAAAACTTTCAAAAGTTAAACAGGGTGACAAAGAAAAATGAGAGAATTAAGACATCATATTCAGGTATGTTATTTCACAGCAAACTAAAACTAAAACTTTTGTAAGTAACTTTGAGATGTAGGCACCCACGTGGCGTAAACCAGCCAAATGTATGATGACTCACCGATAAACAATTTTAATTCCTTTATATATGTGTGTGTGTGTGTGTGTTTTTTTTTTTTGGGGGGGGGGGGGGGGGGGGGGTTACTTTGGCGCTGAAATTCAGACCAAAGGGAGGGACCCTGAAATTCAGACCAAAGGGAGGGACCCTATGAGGTCAAAGGCACGTACAATATTGGTTACTATCAAATAGGAACAGTTGGCAATAATGCCGTGTCTGGGTGCTCAATGTTAAGTGGCTTAAACAATCATTTATATCAAGAACGAAAGAGGTACTAAAAAGGGCAGGTAAACAACCAAACTCCTTTTGTTTTGATAAATGTTTTTTATGTGCGCACTGCCTAATTACCAGTTAATCAAATATACATTAAAAATTTAAGAAATGAAAAAAATAAAATAAAAGAATTGGTGACATATATCAATCAAGGGGAGGGGGCAGCCATCTAAATGTGCAGGCATACAACCCGTGAACCCATACATTCCAAATAAGAAAAATAAAGGCTACCCCATCATTAGTTTGACAAAAACATACAACCCAAATAAAGTTTAGAAAACAGCGCACAAGCAGCGAAGAAAAAACATCAGACACTTCGACAAAAAGATACAAAGTGAAAGTCGAAGCCTCCTGACACCCACTATGGCACTAATCTCCTCCTCTAGCCTCCTGACATCGTTCCTTCCACCAGCCACCTCCACCTCCAACTCCCGAAGTTTACATTCCTTGGCCTCCAGCTACTGCTTCTCTTCATTGAGCCAACCTCAAAGGTCCTGAATCTCGAGAACACGGTTCTGCCTCCTCTCTTGCGCCCTTAACTTCTCAATCAACACTTCAACCCACTTAACTTTAATTTGAGACCTCTACAAAGAACTTACAAGAGCATCAATAAACTCGAAATCCAACTGAACAAAGCATCTCTCCCTCAACTGATGAAAGCATACCACTATCTGAAATATGGACTCACATACGAAGTTCATAAATGGTGCTGAACCATGCTCTGTACCTTCAAAAAAATTAGTGATATATATATATATATATAAACAGATAACGTACGAATACAGCCAACACTTACGTGCCTCCTGATACCCAAAGCTTGCATAAGATAATGAATCATCACTTTCTCCATACCAGCATCCTCATCACCATCACCTTGCTTCGAGGAGTTCCTCTCTATCGATATACACGGAGGAAGCATTAAAGGCGCCCTCAAGAAATTCCTCTCTACAGATAAACATCAAGACACTACAGACCCTCGAGGAATTTCTCTCCGCAGATAAACCCCGAGGAAGCACCAAAATCCCAAGGGTCCACCAATGCGGGTAAACATTGGTTCACGAATGATACATCATTGTCCATGTGGTGCGTGACCTCGTGGCATTATTTCTCTAATGGGATAGGTATGGTAGCTAAGCACTCGGGGGAAGTTAAAGAATCTCGCATTTAATGATGATACCCTTTTAAGTCATGGTTAGCATTAAATGACCGCCTTCCCTACTATTAGGCTAATTAATCACATGACATCCCCTGGAATTTGCAACCAATTGGACAAGCAACAGTTATGATCCTATGGACTTAAGGTCCTTACCCAATGAAGGAGTAGCACAAAAAGAGTCAAAGTGAAAAAATAAAAATAAAAAAAATGGGGAAAAATCAAAGGCTTTTGTCCACAATCGGCTATATACCAAAATAGGATATACTTTAATCACTTACAAATTAACACTTCTTTTTTTGGTAAAAAATAATCCCCTTGTATCTATTGGGTTGAAAGTGAGAGGGCACATATTGTGTTTTTCGGCTACTGGTTCTTGACGGCTATCTGGCATTGGGTGTATTGTTGGGATCTAAATATATTTGTGACGAATGTACAGAAAACCCTTGTTTGGATTTGACGGAAGCCATGATCTATCAGAAAATAGATTCCTATTCGAAGAGATAATAATCGCATGGATAACCTCATACTAACCCATCAATTTGGGATACAATTCAACCTTAGAGGCGGTGGTTTACCTTGCTGTAGATGCAAGGGTTTGAGTCCGATCAACTCCAACTCATAAACTTAGCCGATACAAAACTATCCCGTATCCACTCATCTTTCAAGAGTATATTTATGCACTTCCTTGTGATCACGGTTTACGGTTTAGATCAATTGTTGGAAGATACAAGTTAAGAATTCAATAATTCAAATTGATGATAACCATATTAATTGCTGATGGCACAAAAGTCGTTCCGCAGCGGACATACCAAAACTGTCAGACCCACATATCCCCCAAGCTATAGAAATAATAGCATGCATTCATGTTTTCATGGACACAATCACACATATCCCCTTTAATGTGCGTATTTGAATATGCATCTCAGGCTACAAACATAGTTCTCAGAGAACCTAGATCAAATCAGCCCCCCACCCTTCAGGATTAACAGTAATAAAATGAACAAATAAAAGAACTCCAATTAAATGCAAAGCATTGAAGTAGGAACATATGTAGTAGTAAGTTAAAGCAACATCAAATAAATAAATAAATAAATATTTATATATATAACAACAGAAGCTTACCATGAGAAGCAACTTGGTGTTTCCGTCCTGAACCAGGAGGCCTGCCCCTGGACTTCTTCCCGGAGGATGGCAACGACGCCGCCGTCCCCTGCAAAGGAGTAGGGGACGGGAACCCACTGGACTGTACAGGCGCCTGGAGGGGCGGCGGGGGCAGGGGAGATGTCAATCCAGGAGGCATGGTAGCATCAGGGGCGTACTTCCTAGGCCTGCCGCGCTTCCGCTTAGTCTGTTCGCCTGAGTTGGCGGCTGTGATCGGCTGAGCCACCGTAAAGGCGGAACTAGGTTGTGCGGATAAAGGTGAAGGAGAGGAAGTCGGTGGCATGTCCGGCTTAAATAAAGCTGTGTCATCAGTACTGAAAGGTAAGTCCATGTTCGACATCATTCAGACCGTAAACCCTAATCTCCCTACTTCGATAGAAAAACCCTAAATTTAAACGACAAAGCGTTTGTTTTTGGAGAGCGGACTTGTAACTAGGCTTATATAGTCTGAGCCATCAACACATAAAAGTAAATGAAATGTATGCGACCACTGAATTGATCCAAACAATGCTGAGTTCCATCTCTTTTTGAATGGTCTTGGTCCCGGCCAATAGGGATTAGCCTACAACCATGTAATTTTCGCCTCCGTTATAAATATTTTTTTCTAAAAATATTTTCTATATAAACTTTTTATATTTTATTTTCGGAAAGGTCCTGACAAAACTTTTCAGAATATAAACACTAAGTTATTTTTCTTAAATTTTGATAAATATTTTAGGATAAGACTTGTTTGCATATCGGTAAATAAGTCATCCCTACTAAACATTCGTGTAGTAATCACAAATACATAAATAATTTGTAATTACAAAATCTGAAAAATAATAAATTAAAAAATTAAAAAGAGTGACTAAATTTATTCAAAAAAAAAATTATTATCTCTATTTATCAATTTTTTGATTTTGTAATTATTAATAGTAAAGATGATATACTAACAGTGAGTCTTGTCCAATATTTTATTTAATAAATAATTTACTTAATTTTTAAACAACTAAATATATACTCCTATTTTCTTAAAAATATTTAAGACGGAGCGGGAAAAAAAAAAAGATCAGGTCAAAATTACTCCTTGTTTAAGAGCATCTCCAACCATAAAATTTCGGATTATTTAATTTTAGTTCCAACAGTTGTTTTAAACCTTTTGTGTAAAAATATATCTCTCAATGACAATCAACCAGGACCCACGTAACTTTTACAAACCTACTTAATATATGATTGATTAATTTTAACTCCAACGGTTGTTTTAAACCCTTTGTGTAAAAATATATCTCCCAATGACAATCAACCATGTGTCATGCCAGGATCTACATAACTTTTACAAACCTACTTAATATATGGTTGATTCTTTAATGGAACGAGAAAGAGGGATGAAAAATAAAATATGTTGATCTAGCAGTATAAAAAGGTTGTGTAAAATGCACAATTTTTTTACACATTGATGATGTGGTAATGTATCTTAACAGACTGTTGGAGATGGAAAAAAATTACACATTATAGGTGGCAGTGTATATTTTACAGAAAAAAAGTTATTTTAACAGACCGCTCAAGATGCTCTAAATGTGTGAAAAACAAGTAACAAAGCCCGCCTAGCAAAAGTAACACATCAGGGCTTTGATACAATTTTAGCGTGTGCAATTGTATAAATCATCAACAATATTTTCAAGGACAGATAATCCAGATTCAAGACTTTGAATTCATCATTTTCCCCCAACTTTGAATCTCACATTGGCCCATACATACAACATCAAATTGTATAACAGAATGAATCCACATCAACTCAACCACCATACATCAATGATGCGGGCTGTATCAAAAGCCTACTCTCATGAACATCTACCAAAAGTCCATTTAATCATTTTATTATTTTAGATATGAAACGTATTCATGCTCATGCTCATGCTCATTCCAGAATGAAAGAGGCATGCTACTCAATTCAAGAATTACCAAGGGTCTTGCAACTAAAAAGTATCACCTTTACATTTCAAAGGGTAAAAGTAAGCATATGAGTGAGGTATGTGTTTCTTGTTTTAACTCATTATTAAGTTAAAACTCATTGTCAAGTTTTTTTTTTATACACCATACTTGTTCCCGAATCTGAAACAAAAGACATGCTTTACGAAAACAAAACGAGAAAAAAAAGGCTATCTTATACACTGTAAATGTGCAGGCACAACTAAGACTAAATCACATAGCAAAATAAGGGCTACCACATCATTCGTTTAACAAATTCGAGTTTATTAGGTAATAATTGGTGTATTCTCAGCATGCATATATATATATATATATATATATATATATATTTATATAAATAATAATGAACGGGAAACATAACTAATGTAGAGGTAGGTTAGAAATATAAAAAAGTGAATTTCATACAAAAGAAGATATAATGAATTCACCCATTATATAATGATACAATGGTGAGTTGGTAGCATGGTGTTAGGAAGCCAGGTTTCGACTCATCACACCTTGCCGGGTTAAAAAAAAAAAAAAACAAATGTGTTAAAAAAACAAGTAACAAAGCCAGCCTAGCGAAAGTAACATTAGAGCTTTTATCAAACGCAAGTCACAAAAATTCAAATCCCCAGTAAAATTGTATGAATCATCAAAACTAATATTAGACACTATTTTCCGTTTCCAAAGAACAGATGCACAAAACACAAATTTTCAATACTGACAAATGATTCACAATTTTCAGAACTAACAAATGATCCATGGAGTTTGAATTTATCAAGATCCCACCACTTTTGATCCTTTTGGATCTCGTTTGCCCATACACGGAGCAATAAAAAGAACAGGATGGATCCATGTAAACCAAACAACCTATATCAATGATCCCAGAAGTTGAGACTTTAGGATTCATGTAAACCAAACAACCTATAAATAATTAAATGAACTTATGTACATTGATGTTTATGAGATTCAGCATTAGGTACATGGATCATTTCTTTCCAATGAAAGTCCGAAATAAAGCATAATTTCATAAATGAGACTCAATAGTTCATTGATGTTCATGAGATTCAGCATTAGATACATGGATCATTTCTTTCCAATGAAAGTCCGAAATAAAACATAATTTCGTTAATGAGACTCAATCTAGATATTCATCTATAAATATACAAGTCTCTCAAAAACCCTAAGTGCTCCAAGAGTGTAAATAACACCTCCCTTTTTAAAAGCCACTCTACAAAAATCGATATCGATCCCCACCAAAGCTTCATGAGAGAATGGTAAAGTGCCCTAATTCTGCAACAAATGCCTCACACCAGCCAAATTGTTATCAAGAGCGGGATTGGGGGAAAGTGCTCTTCTCTCAAATGTCAGGCGTTCCAAAATCAGGTGGTCTAAAATTTTATACATTTCAACAAATCATATTCAGCTGAGCTACAGATGGTGAGCAGGGAACATATGTAACATCCAACTCACACAAGTAAAAATGAATTTTTTCATGAATTAACAACAAAATAAGACTTGCACAAAAACCAACAACAGAGCAATCTCATACACTATCATGTCTGTTTACAATCACGTGCAGGTCCTCTTCTTAGCCTTTTTAAGGATGGATGCTGTACATCATGTGCAGGTCCTCTTCTTAGCCTTTTTAAGGATGGAAGCTGAACATCATTCTCAACAGTCTGACTTGAGTCATCATAACTACTGTCTACAAATTTTAGATAAAGCAACAGTAAGTCAGAAAATAGTACACGAGTGCATACAAAGCAAAATCATATTTAACCTTTAGTAACTTCAAGGCAACAACCAGTTTCCAATAATTCAATTTTGAAAAATAACCAATAATGCATAATAACAGAGATTTTGTCATCTTACAAAGCACAGTTCAGATACTATCACATAATCCAGAGTTGGAGTAGATGAGACCACTTAACGGGCTCATAGCCAACGCATGGTTCCATAACATCCTCGTTAGAAGCATAACGACTGGCCTTTAACTCAACCAATGAGAAGGAAAACAGTAGTGCAAGCAATCAGCCAACATCATTTCACCAACAAATCGTAGAAAGGGCAAAATCATATGTTGAACAATAGGAGCTCATTTTAAAAATAAGATCGTAAGAGACATCCACAGAACTTACGTATGCTTCGTCTGAGATGGAATTCATTCCTTAGAATTGGAAGTTGAGTGAAACTAGTTTAAAGTTTGAACTGACATGGCCTTCAATACGAAATGCAAAGCTATTGTAATCTAAGTAGAAAACCCCAAGGGGTTGGCTCATGTGGGTACGTCATTTGGCTCTGTTGCCTCATGAAGCATTGAAGCATAAGGTCTAAGGTTTGACTCCTCTTTGGGTGCAAACAATTCCTTGGAGGGGGGTGTGCGAGTATCATCTAGAAAAAAAATAAAAATAAAAATAAAAATCTAAGTAGAATTTTAGACGACTACCAAAAGCACAGGAAACACGAGAGTCACCTTTTTAAAAAGAAACCAAGAAAAAAGAGAGAGATAGAGAACAATGTCAAAGGACCACTATATATATATATATGAAAAGTAAACAGGCATCTAGAGTTGAAAATTTTATTAAACTTCCCATTGAATTGAAAGGAAATGTTATTTTGGCTGAGCATTCAGAAAGGCAATACACTGTACATGGGAACCCAAATTCCATTAGTAATTTCTATAACAAGAAAACAAACATCAAACCCCAGCCACAAGAAAATAAACTAAACCCAATAGAAATTTCTGTCATCATTATTAAAAAACACTACGAATATGTTGCATGGACATAGACACACATGCATCTGCAATGTACAAGTGTTCATATACATGTGTATACACTATTATGATAATTACCCTCCCAGAAATTCACTAACTTAATTAAAGCTTCATGTACCTCAATCCTGATATTAAATAGGGTCAAGTGCAGAAAACAACCCAAATGAATCTCCACGTATCACTTTCACCCCCTATTTAAAAAAGAGTGCTAATAACCCCCTTATTCTTTTAATATTGTGCGGAAACACCCCTCAAAGAAAAATATGACATAAAGTAACTCTGTAATGTCCGTTTTGCTCTTTTACTCTCCCGAAAATGCCCAAGGGGGTGTGTATACTCATAATCTCATACTATGGGGGTGTTGTGTGCACATTTAACCCACTTTTAAGGAATGCCCAAGGGGGTGTGTATGCTCATAATCTCACCCTATAGGGGTGTTGTGTACACATTCAATCACCTTTTAAAAAATAAATAAATAAATAAAACAATAAAAAATATATCTCTATATATTTCGCCTAACATTGTATTATCTCTATCTGAGTTGATACTTATACATTTCCTAGGACTTAATGCCACCCGTAAGTTAGAAAGCTATAATATATGTATTTCTTTTACTGGTCAAATAGAGATAAATATATATATATATATATATATATATATATATCAAAAAAAAATATTTGTTTTCTCAATTGTCAGATTAATGGAGAGTATATCACATGGAATGAAAACCTCCGTTCTTTTTATAATTAAAAATAGAAAAAATTATTCCCAATTAAAATTTAATATAGTTATCGTTTTTCATTAAATATATAATTAAAAAATTATTTTTATATATATATATATATAATTATACATTTAATTTTTTAAACTTTAACATTTGCAATAAATTTTCACAAAAATTTATACATATAATTCTTTACATGGCAAAAAATGGGTGATCGAATTCAAAACAACAATAGTTTTTAAGATAAAGTGCAGAAAACACCTCATAGTATGCTTATAGTGCGTATCACACCCATCATGTGCTAAACGGCATCATTTTGCTTTGTGTCCATTTTCGTCATTTCATTAAAAATATGTATTTTTAAATAATAATATGTAAAATGTGTATATAAGTGCAATTTAGACAAACTCTACCTTAAATGTGTTAGGAATGACCTATTTGCACAAACTGAAACTTTAGGGGTGTTTTCTGCATATAAGGGGCGTGATACGTACTGTAAACATACTATAGGGGTGTTTTCTGCACTAACCCAATTAAATATGACTGAATCCTATTATGGATTTAATATAAACCCAACCGAAATTTTTCTTTACAAGTTGAATCATTAAAATTGCAAACTAATATGTCACACAGTCAAAATATCAGAATTTTTATATAGAGCAATAAAGAAGTGAAACACTACCAAGGCTGAACGCATCCAAATAAATTTATGCTCGAAGTGTTATGGGAAGATGAGGTTTCAAGTCCCTCTCAGGACAAAAGTAACCGATCTTCACATAGAACACATCTTTGCCAAAAAGAAAGGAAAAGAAAATTAAAAAGGAAAAAAAGAAAACAATGACCACCCTGATGACATACCTTCTGACATGCTTGTTGTCTTTACAGGCAGTACATCTGTGCACTCGACTGAATTCTGCTCAGGACCATATCCAGGCCATTTCTCAGATACCGTGATCACCCCAGGTTCAACCTTTTGTTCAGGCATCTCACATTTCCCATTGAAAGGCTCCATATAACAGAACCTATCAAATAAAATATTTTGATTAATCAATGAGTGCCACAATAGTTAATAAAAAAATACATGCATTTCAAATATATTCTACAGAATATTTAATTACTATCAGACATCCTCAAGAGGTAAACAACACAATCCTTCATACAATTTTAATTGTAAAATTATTTTATCAAGCTCATTCATTGCTCGGAAAAGAAGCTGCAAAGAAGAAGAAGAAGAAACAAAAGAAGATAAAGATGCTACTTCATGTAGCAATGTATGACACATTTTACATCATCAGAAATATACATCAAGCAACAACTAGTGTAAAAACTGATCTTATTCCAGTCAAAACCCCAAACGCAAAGCCGCCAGAGAAAAAATAAAACAAGATATCGTTGGCCAACATAGTGAGGCATTGAGAGTGAAAAATGAAATCCAAACACAAGCAATAAAGCAACACTATGACAGCATGTCACTTTGCATCTCCTTACAATTAATACGAACACTTCATATACATCAAGAGAAATTTTGTTGCCCTTAATTGCCCCAGTTCAAAACAAGAAAGATATCTCTTATTTTTAGTGTATATAAATTTATTTTATTACTTACAAGGCTTTAACAGATCTTTTTTTATTTTTTTTATTTTGTCTTTTATCGTCGAGACGGAGTGGAAGAAGGGAGGAGATTCTCAAATGAGGAAAAGGATCCAATGAATTCGAACACCCCATACAGCAAGTAAATTATTCACCCCAACCCAAAATTCACAACAACATAAGTAATGATAGTTACACATCAATAGGCCTCGAGTATTGCATAACAAATCATACATTGTAACTAAGAGTCCAGTATATAATTGTTGATAGTTACTAATCGCATGTCCGAAGAAATACAACTGTGGTATATTATAACCACGTTCAGCAGACTATACTAATTGTAACAGGTGGGCGCTTGCCCATTTACCCAAAAGCTTGTACTATTGGGTAGTGCTGCATACCCACCCATTTATACACACTTCAACCCCCATCCAAATCCGATGTGGAACAAGTTTCACTTGTAACATTCTCCCCCACCCGAACCCACGCAACGCCCTCGTTGCGGTCGGACCACCCTGCCTACCCGGAGGCAGACCCGGACCCCTTCCGTGCCAGGCGCTTGGCGTGACACCAGATTAAGGACTGGGTCTGGCTCTGATACCAACTGTAACGGGTGGGTGCTTGCCCATTTACCCAAAAGCTCAAACTATTGGGTAATGCTGCATACCCACCCATTTATACACACTTCAACCCCCATCCAAATCCGATGTGGGACAAGTTTCACTTGTAACACTAATCCAATTAGGTAGTTTTTAAAAGCCTGCTATTAAAGGATTTGAGAGTCGTCAGGTAAGTAAAAGTAGCACATTAATTAACTATGCATGACTTTTGGAACCATACTAATAAAACCTTACGGCTGATGGGGAGTCTAATAAGCCCTAGAATAGAAGGGGCAGATCTAGCCCTAAGCGACTTACAGCTGTCAAGCCAACTATAAACCAACATACGATCCCTCTGAGTAATAACTATATAAGAGGAAACAAAAATAAAGGTGCCAGCTAACTCAACTTTTAAGGTCATATTGTAATCATAAATGGGCCTATGCAGATCCCACTTTCAACCATGTTGGGGCTTTAATTGGTTAAGGGACTGGACCCTATCCTTTATTAAGGACCAAAACAGAAGAAAACACACATAAATTTTTTTTTACTTTGAAACACAAACAAAATAAAGAAAAGCACTATGAGGTATGAACTACCATACTTCACACAACCAAGGAATTATGAAGACGTATTTCGTAGATGAATAACAACTAAATGATCTCAATTGCCATGTTTTACCAAAAGCATGTGACGGAGAGTATTAGAATGCATTAAAAAAAAAAAAAAGCAACTCCATGAAAAAACCAGCAAAAGCTCATTAGCATGGCAATCAAGTAGAAAGAACCGAGAGTAATCCGCACATGGTATTACAAAAACAACACATGCACAAAGGCAAACAATAATATTCTGCTTAAAATTTCAATACAGACATTTCAGTTGAAACTGAATACCATTCTTGAGGCAACTGCTTGCTGTCAAAACAAGAGCTCAACATTCTCCACTTCCTACACATGTCACATTGCACCCATTCATTATCAGGTTTGTGGAGAGTACTACCCTTTTTCTGGAGGAAAGAAGCAGTGTGAAGAAAGCAACTTAGTTAACAACAATAAAAAGTAACATCTGAGATTCAAAGATAGGTCCACAATTTTTTGAGATCAAATTGAAACAGTTGACCAAAATCTATAGCTTTTTCATCAGGAATATAGACAATATAAACATGAAAACAAGTTTAGTTGAAGAATTATTGGGGCACAAAGTTAGTATTCAATTTTCACATGGTTATCGATATGTCTAAACTGAGTAAATGGTGAAAAAATATCATTGTCGTGGTTATTTCTCATAGACAAAGGAATGAAATATTTCAAAATGACATCTAAGCTAGTATTCTTTAAGTGCAAAATAATTTATAAACAACTTTTACATAAGCACACAAACAGGTTTACATGGCAGTCGGATTTTTGAAATTCAGTTGGTATTATTGATCCTTTCTTTTAGAACAAAAGTCATTGACTTGCAACGTCAGTCATCAATTCTGTTTGAAGTGTACTACTCTTTTTTGTGTTTGAAAATTCAAACAAAGTAACCTGGACCTAAGGGTGGCAAATCGTGTTAACAGGTCATGTTTGCATCGTGTCGAGTCAAGGGTACTCTTTAATATCTGGCAACCCGAACACCGCCCGCCCACACAACCAGTGTAACCTATTTAAATAGACACAACCCAATAAATTAAACAGGTTATTAGAGTTGAGGCAATTATGACACGAACATCATTAATGTCAACCCAAACCAGCAAATTCTGTGTTGGGTTCAAGTAGTTTAGACTTGTCCAATACAATTTTGCAACACATACCCAGATCCCACACAAAATTCTTTCAACATAGAGAGTTCAGATGTCACAATGCATTAGGCAGAGGCATATAGTCAACAATATGGAAAAAAGTTGAAATAGAAAAGCAAGGTGCAAAGGATTAGTTACCACTTTTAGTGTATCAATATATTTGGACCAGTATTGATCTGAAGTTTTACCCAGCCAATCTTCCAGCTGGGCATACAATTCACAGTCCTGGAACCCTTGTTTATTGCTATGAACCCATACGTGACCATTACAATCACTCTGTGACAGGAAGAAAAGGAACCAGGGCCTTAGAGTGCAATAATAAGATAAAAAATAATAAAAATTACTTACAAAATTAAAAAAAGAAATCTTCAACAGAGAAATTACCACAATTCTATTTAGTATGCTATTGTGCATCTAGTTAAGCAACAAAATTACACTATATCCTTTCGAGTATTGGACAAAAGGGTATCAATTTATTTTATTTTATAATATGGTCATGTAGTCATTAAGCGTGAGGGCGGGCCTTTGCGCAACGGTAAGGTTGTTCAACTGTGATCTAAAGGTCATGGGTTTGAAGCAAGGAAACAGCCTCTCCACGTGCAGAGGTAAGGCATATACATCAGACCCTCCCAGACCCCACAATGGCAGGAGCCTACTGGGCTAGCCTATACTCACTGGTTACACAATTATATTGACATACATCAACTTCATTTTCTTTTCCATTAAAACCTCTATATTGTGTTGTTTCCAGGTCTAAAGGGATCTAACAAACACAGATGAAATAAACTAACAGTTATAGAGAAATGCTGCAAAAAATAGAAGCACAAAAAGAAAGAAATGGCCAAAATTACTTGTTCAAAGTAACTTTTATACCATTAAATCAGTAACATCTGTAACACCAATTACCCCATGACCAATATCTGCACTATGAATCATGCGACCAACCCTCTTGTAAGCCTACAAGAACAAATATACGATAAGTTAGAAAAACATGACATCCGACATCAAGTATGAGGAGAACACACCTGGTTGATATAACAATTATACAAGAAAAATCAATCAAATTCAAGATATAAATTCCAAAATTTTGATCCATTCCATGCTGTAATCACATTCTTCAACAGAAATTACGGGGAAATCCAGAAGAAACAACCACAGTTCTGAAAACCAATGACTCATATCGAATCTTGACCCATGTCCAGGTTTCAACCTTTTTAAAACTGAATCTTATGTCTACTATTTCTGGTACAATTAAAGTTTTTCTACCCTAGGTCCTAATTTTTTTAATTCAACTCATATATAACAAAGCTTAGGTATACAACAAACAATAACACATGTAAGGAGAAGAAAATTAATTTAACTAAAAAAGAGAAATGACAAAAGAAGGACCGAACATGTTGGAAAGCAAGAATATGATATCCTATGATTTAACAAATGAAATGTGATATTCGAAGAATGTACCAAAGCACTAGGGCAAAGTAAAACGCATGTAAAGAATATCACTTCAGGCAGGTAAAAAGGACGAGAAATAAACCTATAAATTCACTACGATAAATATTTATTTATAGGCAAAATTTAATGTCATGCTAATCATATAAAGAGTCAGACCCAACAAGTTCAACTAGGAAACATAGAGAGTACCTCGGTATACCTTTCTGAAAATTTCCGCTCAAATCAAACAAAATTAACACATGCAGGTAGAGAAAATCAAATGTATATCATATTCAAATCAGCAATAAAGGAATGAGGGAGCACAAAAATGGATGAAGACTTTAAAATCAAAATATTAAAAATCTAGATGAACTAATCTATCTATATGGTGTAAAAAGTTTGAGGGAGAAAGAAAATAACATGAACAGATTTAGTCAACTTTTGCAATAAATAATATTACAAAAATAACCAGAATGAATTGCATAATCATACTAAATAAAAAAATTATACAAAAGCTGAGTGGTCATTGCAGAATCATGGAGCTAAAGCACACCTCAATCAAGCGGCCATGCCAATACAAGAATACTCCACAATTTGCTTGCTCCAATTCTAATTGACAGCGACCAAGAGTTAGTTGAACAGGTTTTCCCATGATAAAACCATTTTCCACAACAGTTTTATTGAGAGATTTTGCTAATGGACGACTTTTAACCTGTTGAAAAACATCAAACCAATTTAGTCTCCCCCAAACCCACATGAACGACATCATCTAACCACCAATAAAAAGAAAAGGCATGCAGTTACCAATGATCCTTGAACATATATCTTCATTCGTGGATCTAAGAAGATAACTTCTAAATAAGATCGAAGCGAATAGTCTAAAGGCACCTGAAACCAAAGAAGGCACAAAACCAAAGCTAAATATACAGCATCATATATTGCTAACAAAAGAGACCACCTGCTGTTAGCTTGAGTGGTAATCCAGCCACCCTCAAAAGACGATATATGCTAGATCTATGTCCTTGATTGGTGCTGGAAGGGGGTGTGTGTTTGTGACATACTATACGAATCAAAAAAAGGACTCAAGGCATGCATTTGAGTATGTGTCGCACTGAACAAATCGAGAGAGAAACCCCAAGGGGTTGGCCTAGTTGGAAAAGACTTGGGCCCTCGTGCCTCATGAAGCATTAGGTCTCATGATCGATTCCTACTAGGTGCAACAATTCCTTGGAGGGGGGGTGTGTGAGTACCAACTAGGGAAAAACAAATTAAGAGAGAGAGAGAGAGAGAGAACCCACTATACGACTTGTCTGGCCTGGACGAGATCTGATTCGTTTGGAACGAATCAGTATGTCACCTTGGTGGAAGGAACTCCCACCACTAACCCCCTTCTCCCATTTCAGGCTATAATCTGAACCCCATTTATCCAAATTCCATATGTAAATTTGTGTTCCTGTACTACGTCCACTGAACAATCCAGCCTTTTCTCCAATCAGATACTTATTGAATGGAGAAAAATTTTTAATATCCTTCAAATTGTTCTTTGCTAAAACTTCAGATTGTACACTAGTGTCCACTTCCATAAAATTTCCCTTCCTGCAGTAGCTCACAATGGGTATCTCCAGATTCTGCAAAGAAATTATACATGAAGTAGAAATCAATAGAACAATAAAAATAAAGCAAAAAGACCCATGAAAATGAATGCATACATCTTTTCCTTCATTTAGCGACTGGGAAAGGAAAGCTATAGATCTGGAATTAGCAGTCTGGGTCAGAACCAATGCATCCTTACCAAGTCTCATTGCTCCAGTCTGAGAAAACAATTGTCCATAATCAGACAGAAACATATACAGCTGCAAGCATAATATAAGTACTTGTAATTGTAACACAGGATTCAAAGAAAAATAAAAGGATAGCATTAGTCAAGAGAATAAAAAGAAGAAAAATGCATAGATAACTATGAACGTGTGGTGTTTGGGGGGGCTGGGGGGGAGATGGAATTATAAAAAGAAGAGGAAGGTGAGCACAAATGCAATTACTTGCTTTACACAAAAGTTAGAAGTAGAGTCGTAGATCACAAACTTTTTTTTTTTGGAAGGTTTAAACCAAACACACACACACCCATACCCATATTACCTAGTGGTGCTCAAACTCTCCACCTCTCGTTTGGGGAGGAGAGATCACTAGACACTAACTTCTAATCAATTTCCTTATACATAAGGAAGGGAAAAGGGAAAGTTATGACTGGTAAATAACATCTTCTAATTTGTCTCAATCTCCTTCCATTCTATTTCTCAAATTCAAATTGTAATGCAAACAAAAGAAAAAAGGAAAAAATGATTCCCCCAAAGAAAGCTTATATCCACCCCCTTATTCAGAATATGCTGCACATGTTATATATAGGGAAATCCTCATCGTCTCTACCTGTGGAGGGAGATCAAGCTTTCAATGAAACAATTGAGGAAAATAAGGAAGATTTGAATGAATAGATGCTCCTTGTCTTGACCAAACTCTCTCCTAAACTGCCGTTCTCGCTATTATAGGATGATCTTTAGTTGCTCGTTCGGGGAGGATTGCTAAGGTAAAGGAAAAAACAAAAACAAAACTTTCATGAAGTGTCTCTTTTCAGTTAAAATAAAAATAAAACTGCCAAAATTTAGTATGACACAAGTTTCTTAAATAAATTAAAAAATAAAACTACCAAATATTGTCCAAATATTGCTTCATTTCAATCCTAGTAACAATATGATTACAAAAGTAATGCAACTTCTTACACAGAGTTTGCTTATATGAAAACCATGATCATATTTATAGCAATACAACTAGAAGCCAGGCAGCAAAATCCTAAGTTTCAAAAGAGGGGCATATTTATTTATAAAAAAAAAAAAAAGAGACACCTAGCATCCTAGTCAACAATAATATCACTCAATTATGATTTGATACATAAATATAAAAAGAACTCATGCGAAAAAGTAGATATCACATGAATAAATTATTAAAAGATTAATCAAAGCACGCACACCAATATAGCTGAAGCAGAATAAATCGAAACATCATCAAATGCTGGTGGATATGGAAAACAAAAATTCTGATGGAACCATATATATCAAAACAAACAACAACAGCCGGTCAGACTGAAATGAACCGTCTGTGCACAGAGATTAAAATAAAACCAGGGTACATCCCGAATCCAAACATCTTCTTTAGAAGAAAAATAAATTACCTTAAATCCAACGCCAAATCTTCCAATACGATCAGGATCATCTGCATCGGGTTCCTTGTGCCCAAAAGAAATCATTGTAACAATCTCCTGATGGGTCATTCCATGGCCATCATCAATAACGGACAGCATAGGAATTTCTAAGCCAACATTTTTTGAATATACAGTCTCAATAGAAATTTCCAATCTGTTGGATACAGCAGAATTACAAAAACATATCTTATAATAGAAACATACAGTTGAAAACAAGAAGAAAAATTAAAGAGAAAAAAAGCTATCCTACTTGGTTGCTTTTGCATCTCTTGAATTGTCAACAAGCTCAGCAACTGCACCAAAAATCCAGCCAGAATGTGCTTGACCAAGCGTTTTCAAATAACTTGGGTCTGTTCGTACATAGTTATTCTCCAAGGGAGGCTTGTGCCCGATAGCATTTGAATTACGTCTGCTAATAGATTTCTTCCTCAATTCATGATCATGTACATCGCCCTTGGCTTCTACAAAATTACCATCAGGAGAACGTTTATCCATAAACGCATCTGATCTGCGGTCGATAAACTCCTCACCAATGTGAAACTTTGGAGCAGCAGCCTCCTCCAAGGGAGACAACAGCCCAGAATGCATGGAAGTATTTGTTGATTCAGTGCTAGGTTGCAAAATTCTACGTCTTTTATTTGCATCCACATCCAGATTCAAAGGCTCAGCTGTGCTTATCTCTGTTACATATGAAAAGTTGAACCGATATGCTTATAAAATCCATTTTAGCTACAACATAAAAGTTAAAAAACAGATTACACACTCCACCGCCACAAAGCATGACGGAGCATAAGACTAAACAATAACGCACATCCTACCAATAAGTCTCTCCCACCCCCCACCCCCAAAGGGATGAAAAAAACCTCAGAAGTGCCTATTAGATGATATAGAGACCTAAAAGGAAAAGGATTTTCATGCTTCAATAACAAATAATTAAGATTTATAGAAGATGACCTAACAACAACCCTTCGAACACCAGGAGGCAAAAAGAGAAAACTTACCAGATATCCCACACTTTTGTCCATTATATACACGATGAGCTCTCCCTATCCGGTATGAAACTACAGCGCTGTCAAAATTGAAGCCTTCATTGGGAGGAAGTATGTAAAACACAGATGATCCATTTTTTGCAACAGCCACCTGAAAAAACATGATGTTTGTATTGTTAGTATTTCACAAGTGAATTTTTAGGAAGAATCATATAAGAAATCATACGAAAACTAAAAGAATTTGAATTCCCATTCTTTTTTAAAAGCATACCCCACTTTTCAACAAAAGAAAAAAAAAATGAAAAAAGAAATAAAACAAAACTGAATGGAAGACGATTTTTTTTTTTTTCCCTAAATGAAAGAGTCTTTATAAATATAAACAATATAGTACAAAAAGAACATAGGGCATACCCCCACTCACAATTCCAAAACCCTCCTAGAGAAGGCCAAATAAAAAAGGAGAACAGAACTAACTAAGAAACAAGATTACAAGATATCCTGAAGAATAATCCCCATTACATCCATAACCTCCCACAAAATACACTTAGCTAACTCCATAGAATCTCGACACTAATCATTATGCAATCTCTCATTCCTCTCTCTCCAAATAAAGAATAACACAGCAGTAAATAAAATCCTAGCCCATTTACTGCCCTTCCCTTGAAATCTTTGAGTAAAAACCATTACCAAATCCTGAACCTCATACACCCTCTGTAAATTCCAAGCACATATATCAGAAATATTAATCCACACTTGCCATGTATATTCACAGCTACAGAACAGATGATCCAAGGATTCCACACTTCTATAACACAAGCAGCATCTTGAAACAAGAGACACACCTCTTTGTTGCAGAAAAGAGTGAAGAACAATAGCCTTCTGCATAACCAGTACTGAATGTGTAGACCATCAAGGTCTCCCTCCACTCCAGCATAAACCAGACCAGTTTACCTCTGGAAGTTCTGCAAACCTCCCAAGCTTCCTTAAAACTAAAATTAGTCTTCCATCTGATTTGGTCCTCTCCCCCATATACCCTTTGTTCATGGAAAACCTGTGTCACATCCTGTGCTGTATTCATCAACTGAACATCATCCCACTGACCATCTATAATAAACTCACTCAAGCTTATCTTCTTGTTTCTGCTGAGACAACCCAACACCCTATGATTAAATATATCACCCAAGCACTTTCCATCACACCATGGATCCAAAAACATCTTAATATTCTGTCCATTACCAATCCTATACCTGCAATTTTCTTTAATAATCTCTCTGACTGCAACTATGCTTTTCCAAATTGATGATGAAGATTCCCTAGGAATTACATTCCAGAATGATGCCTTTCTCAGGTACATCTGATTGAACCAAGCCACCCAAATTCTGTCTTTGGACAGGAAAAAATCCCAAGCCAGACTGCATTTAGAAGCCTTGTCAATATCAACCAGTCTTCTCAAACCCAACCCTCCTTCCTCTTTTGGAGCAGCTAACTTCTTCCACCTCAATCCATGTAATTTCTTTCTGTCTTCAACATGACCCCAATATAGTTCCTCATTCTCCTCTCAATCAGATTAATTATCACAGCTGGAAGAGTATATACAGAGGTCCAATACTGCACCATAGGAAGAATAACAGCTCTGCATTATTCCATTCTACCAGACATAGAAATATTCATCCAATCCATCTAGTTGTAGTAGCTATAACCTTCTCAACCAAACTGGAGCAATCCCTGCTTCTCAACATTTTATCAGAAATTGGGAGACCAAGGTAAGTTAAACGCAGTTTTCCAACCTTACAACCAAGGGTTCTAACAATAGCAGACTTCCTTCTGACTGAATATGTAAAAAAAAACTTCTGATTTCTCCTTACTGACTGCCAACCCTGAAGTATTTTAAAATTGCACCAAAGACCTTTTCAGAGTAAGAATTGTAGCCATGTTAGCTCTAACCACCATCAATACATCATCAGCAAAAAATTGATGGGTAATAGGTAAACCAGCTCTAACAGCAGCCTCAGAAGGAAACACCTTACCTCTCTTTACCTCAACATCCATAATACCAGAAAAGTACTCTGTCACTAAGGTAAAAAGAAGTGGAGAAAGGGGACAACCTTGTCTTAGACCTCTCTCAGGTTGAAAATAACCGTGAGGAGATCCATTTATAATAATTGAGAACCATACTGAAGATAGACAAACTGAATGGAAGACAATTTGATATAATGCAGCAAGAGTTTAATTACATAAAAACCAAAATTACCATTTTTGGTATCTTTTTCAACTACAAATGCACAATAATTTTTTTGAGATAGCCAAAAATACTTTATTAGAAACTAAAAGACACTCCTAATCAGTTTTAAGCGTAATGCAATGATACAGCTGTATGCCACATTAATTTACTTTGGAAGCTAAAAAGAATACCCTTATCATTAAGAGTAATAAGGTTATGTTAGAAAATGTGTTTAAAAGTTCTCCACTATCCAAATGTTACGCTTTTTATTATTTTCATTTCTTTTGGCATTCACAAGAGCAGCGTAAGCATCTTTACACAGTCCAGTGTAAAGTCAAGCTCATAAAGTGTAAACTTTGACAATTTTATTGGGCAGCGTACAACATAAGTTAAATGAAAGACAATTAATGTCTGGGAAAATAAATCTTTACCTTCTTGGTTTTCTTGAGGAAACCCAAGAACAGCCCCCACTCCTTCTGCTGCATAGAATCTTCAGACGCGGAGCATAGAAAAAAATGAGGTAATCCAGTAAGAGACTCAAGAGTATTTGGTCGAACTATATCAGATATGTCCAAAATCGGAGTCCTGTAATACATCTCACTTTGAGTGTGCATATAATTTAAAATGAAATCAACAAGAAATCCAAAGACTTCTATTCTGACGACCACCCGGAAAAACTGATATTGACAATAAACTTTTTTTCAAGTAATGAAAATAGAATCCACACTGGTGGAACTAAAACTGGAAAATGACCTTTGCAGCAAACGTGACAACCCATTACATAAACCTCAAACTTCTCACAGAAACAATATCTAAAGCCTTAGATGTTGCAGACATTGTTTTATGGCCATTCAACAAGTAGAAATTCGATCAATACCAAAACCCAAGTATATGATAGCTGTAAATCTTACTCGAAAACACTTGAATAGCTGTACAGTAAAGAGATCTAACATCAAGTTTCATCACATCTGCCCCTAACTATAAAGAAGATGTGATTGGGTTAAAGTTCACTATTTTGATGACAAATGGAACTGATCCTCAGCACTGCTAATCCATAAATTGTAGCATAAAAAATTAAACAAAAGAAACAGAAACCAAAGGAACAAATAATACTAGCCAGAATAAATTTCCTAAATAAATACCAAAGCCAGCATATCAATTAGCAGATAAGGTATTTGGGAAGGGTGTACATACATTTTAATTGGTGCGTTGGAGCACTGTGCCCGACTTATGGTTTTTTTATCCTTCATCAGCCAAACATAACATTCAAAACCATCTACAAAATCAACTATTTGATCAATAATGGACATTAAAAAGGAATGCATGTAAAACTTGTCCAAATTTAACCACATAAAGTGTATCATATACTTCATATAGCTATTGGACTGACAGTTCCATCAATGTCATAGAAGTTTCATTTCAATTTTTAGGATGTTACAAATCAGACACTATGGCATACCAGACATTGACACCTATGGCTATATCCATGTAAAAAAATACAAACTTAATAACGAGCTATATCAATAATTCATTCAACAAGGCAGAAAGGGAGTTGAAGACCTGAACTTTCACCATCTTTTGGCGGCTCATTTAAGTGGGACTGCAGATCTCTCATTATTGAACCTGAGCCCTACACCAAGCATAAACACTGAATATCAGGTGATAGTGATACATTACAATCTAAAGCATCCTCAGGCAAAAGATGATCCCATTAAAAATCTATTCATTAATTAAAAAGTTTGTGCCATGGTGTTGCAAACCCTTTTTCTCTATTTCCTTTTTATATTCTTGTAGGATAAGCTCTATAAATAAGAAGCACAATCAATATGAAAGTCATGAGGAACAAAAAAAAAAAGGCACTTATTATTCTTCCGAATCAGATAAGTGGCGCTTTCCCACAGTAGTAGGCAAGCCAACAAGTAACTGCAGTGCCATTATTTTTTGCACTAAAGCCAGTATTACCCAGATGGTCTGAATGTGCATTGTGCGACATGGCATTCCAAGGATAGGCATATATATAATTACATATTTGCTTAATTAGAATAGACACTAAATTAGTTTGGAATGTAATACCAGCTTTTTTATTTAAATAAAATACATAAAAATCATCTATCTAAAGACATTCAAAAACTTGTTCATTCAATATGAATTATTCATTTTAAGAACAAAAATACATGTTTCCTTTTTGGGCTAGTCTCTTAATGTATTTGCAACATTTTTGCAATTGTTCATTCTGAGCCATAATAATTTGATTCCTATTTGGGTAAGTATTTTGATGTATTTGAACCAATTTTGCCCCAAGACATTCTTTCCAACAAAATTTCAGTTAGGTGCTCTTTATAATGCCCTTCAAGGAGGTTAAGTAAGAAAACAAATATCCAAACCAAGCCCACAACGAAATGACTAGATATCCATATTATCTTACATTTCCTTGTAAAAGAAGTTGCCTTTATAGACATAGAGAGATCAATGTTAGCACTGCGCTCATTTTGAAATGATTATGCAACAAGAAGTTGAGAACAAAGTATGAGAATTTTAAGTGCAATTATGTAGTAAACATAATTATTTTACTTGGACATCAAATTTGCTTGTTCTCACAATAGTTTCGTCAAGAAAGGCCATTTCCAAAACATTTGAGGCTTTATGATACAAAAACCCACCAACCTATCCACCTACATACCGTAGCACCATATATATTCGTATGAAGCAAAAATTGAAGATAATTCTATTCATGAAAAATTAACTCCAAGAAACCTCTGATATTGATTCATCAACCAGAAAATGCCAACTGAATCCTAGCCATGAGATAACGGGCGAACAAATTTGTTGATTGTCACTTGGTATAAAGAAAACTAAATAAATAATGTTGAAAATCCAAAATTTAAAAATAAAAATAAAAAAGGAAAAGGAAAAATGAACATACTAGTCATTACATTTATCTCTTAGAACCAAGAAGAAACCAGTTCTTCAAATTTTTGTGATTGTGCTATTTATCAATATTGTGTGGTGTGTTCACAGAAGCGTGAATTCCCATATTCAATCCTATGCAAATCACACAGCAACGCCCAACCGAACTACAAATAGAACACATGACTTACAATAAAAGTAAACATAGACAGTTGAAGTGGAAAATTATGGTGTCGAAAGTCTAAATCCCTTTGCAAACCCAAAAAGTCTGTCTAATCAAAACAAATGGCTGAAAGAGTCCAAAAGACCACAAATATCTTTACATAAATAAAGAAAACGAAATCAAATGGGGATGAAAATATTCAAACCCCCCAATGTCCTGGCAGCTAAATATATATTTGTATAACGATTAAGAGTGCAAACCAAAAATTACTTAACCATCCGCACAAGCAAGTACAGTGAGACTTACCAGATATAGATAAAGCATCAAGCTTTACTGTTTCATCATATTTTTACTAGTGTTATGTCCTATTGCGCATTCTTAGAGACAAAAATAATAATAATAATTAATAATAAACGAAAAATAAAACAATACAACAACTGAACAACATATACTCAACCGTAATCCAAATCCTAACACCAAAAATCAATCCTAAGTTAAACCACCACCAAACAGAGTTTAACGAAGAAAAAGCCTGCCTCGTATAGTAATTTAAGAGAAAAAAACAAAAAGGAAAGAAAACAGCGGTATTGCATCGCTAAAACTTAAACCAACAAGTATTAAATCAAAAAAATAGCAAAACGGTGCAAAATATGTAACTACTTCAAAGTAAAGTTTCGAAAGAACGTGATTCGTCGACCTTCACACAAACATTCATAAGCGAATTCCACACATTTTGCCTCAAAAGCAATATTTAAAACGAACACAAACCCTAGGACAAAAGGCGAATGCCGAAAAGCGATTCGAACTTACAAGAGCATATGCAGCATTGTGCAGTAGTGATATATTATGCATTTATGTGTGTGTGTGAGTGTGTGTACGTTTGATTACCGGAGGACGCTGCGACAAAGTCTCAGTACTGAATGTGGAGATGAAGCTAAAAAGGCTTCTGAAGGCGAAGTCGAGTTTTTAGAGAGAGAAACCACCGGAGAGAGAGCGAACGGCAAGTAGAGTGACGGCGGGCTTGCATTGCTAGAGCGAGAGGGACGGGGGCGCTTTTAAGGAGCCGGCGCGTCGATTTCTATAGTGAGACAATTATACCATGCCCGCATATTAATGTGGAGTTTTATATGCCCTTATTATAATGATGAATAACGTTCGTACCCTCGAGGTTCATGTGTACGGCTGTTACGAATGGAAAATACCCTAACCTTTTCGTGGAATAACAACCTTGCCCCTCTACCCCTTTCTTGACCCGGACATTTCAATGCCACGGTGAATCAGATTCCCCCGTAAAAACTCTGCAACTGTCTTAAATGGAAAATACAATATTTTTTAAAAAAAATATTGTATGTATTCAATTTAAGTATACTGAATCCAAATGTCTAACAGAGAATATCCTAGTTGTTCTGGGTTGAGGCAATTGATCGATTTGATATGCAACTTTTTCTAAACATGATTATAATTGTCACCGAATTTAGTGAATTTTATTGTAATATGAATGGTTAATCATTCAAAGACAATTTGAGAAAACACGTTTATTATAAGTTAGTTTGTAGCTCTATTATTAAGTTTGGAAAATCCTCCTGATCAACCTCTCCGTGGGAACGAAACTTTGAGGTAATTTTTTTCTCTCCTATTTTTTAAAATTGGCTCGGTTTGGGAAGTTATCTTTGATATATAGAAGAGTAATATTTTCAATAAAACTCTCTCATTTAAGAAAATTTATTAGCAATGATCCCCGCCGGCAGTATGATAAATTGACAAAAGTTGAATAAAGTTCATATGGTGTCTGCTCATCACCATGTGACATATGGACAAAAAGTTGAATAAAGTCTTATACATTTAATGTTTTTATTACTATATTATATGGTAATGATCCCGGAACCATATAATAATTTCTCTCTACTCATCATATATGGACAAAAAGTTGAATAAAGTCTTATACATTTAATGCATTTATTAATGTGTCATATGTAATGGTCCCGATCATATAATAATTTATCTTAGAGAGATGAACCGTGAGTTCCATATAAAAAAATAACAATAATAACAAATTATTACATGATTATGTGACCAAATGGTCCCCGCCCATGGCTTTCTATGGTCCCGTCAGTTGAATAAAACTGCATACATTTCTAATAAATCTATTGATGTATCACGGTAATAATTTCCCTCACTAGAAAAAATAATAAGTTGTCCATATATAATTTCTCTCATTTGAAAAAATATATATTATATGATTCTGTGACCAATGGCTCCCGCCCCATCACCATGTGATAATTTAGACTTGTCAATAGATCGGATTTCGGAATGGAGCCGATCCAATCCAAATCCAATAAGCCTTTTACTCGATTCGATCCGATATTTTCGACCAATTTTTTGTAAGTAAATCTATATCCGATCCGATAAAGGTGTAGTTTAATAAAAAAAAATTACAGGGAGAAAAGAAAAGAAATTAATGTCAAAAGATAATTAAAAACAATGATTAGAAGGAAAAAAATGATAAAAACAAAAGATATATAAGTATTGATATATATATATATATATATATATATATATATATATAATAATACATTATTATTATATATAATTTTATTCAGATAAATTATTATCGGATCGGATCAGCATAATTCATATCCGATTTGTTAGGATAACGGGTTATCAAATTTAGATCGTAATCAGGTTATCATATTATTTAATCCACATTCGACTAATCGAATCGAGCTTTATATAATCCCCGCCAATCACCATGCAGGGCCGGCCTGACCCAAGGCAACCAAGGCGGTCGCCTAGGGCCTCAGAATTTAAGGGGCTCAAAATTTATAGGCCCATGAATGACGGGCCACCAAAAAAAAAAAAAAAATTTATGTATGGAGAGCCTCACTTTTAAAGTTCGCCTAAGGCCTCTAAAAAAATTTTCAATCTCAGGGCCGGCTATCACCATGTGATATATTGTCAAAAAGCTGAATAAAGCTTTATACAATTCTGACACATTTATTGATGCGTCAAATGGTAATAATGACGTGACCATGTAATAATTTATTCGAGACCGAAAAATCGTGAGCACTTCATGCACTTCATATCTAATATCTCTTATTAGAAGAAAAAATAAATAAAATAAATTAAATTAAATTAAAAATAAAAAATTTATTACGTGATTTTGGGATCAAATGGTTCCCACCCATCACCACGTATAAAGCTTTATGCATTTTTGACACATTGATTGATGTGTCACATGGTAATGGTCCGTGACTAATAGCCCCATAACCATATAATAATTGCTTGTGAGCTCTCTGTATCTAGCCACTGTATTGATAATTTTTTTAAAATATGTGTAAAATTAAATGAATCATTTAATACAATACTATAATTCATTAGTTAAATCAGAGAGTTCACCCAAAACAACTTTAAGACTTCACTTATATAAATGAAATTGGAAGGAAATAAATGAAAGATATGGATAATGACTTTGGCCCCATTTGGGGGAGTTTTCTCACATGTCCGTGGATAAAGGCATTCATGAAAGGAATTTTGCTGGAAGGACTTAATAAAAAAAGACGTTTGGCGAGCACATTTCTTTAATTCACTTTAACTTTTAAACTATTTTTTCATGACAATAATATCTTTTTTCCTTAACAATTATTGCAACCGTTCAATAAAAAAGCGTGAAGCGGGCGGTGGTGGAAGGTGATGACAATGTTTGTAGTGATGGTGGTACAAACCAGTTGAGATGATGGTGGTCGTAGTAGTGGCGGAATGTGGCGGTTGAGGGTGGTGGTGATAGAATGTGACGATGTTGGCAATCAAGGGCAGAGCCAGAAACTTTCGTTTGGGGGCCGAAATAGTAGTAGTATAAAATTAAATTTAAAAAATAAAAGAAAATAAATGTAACAAATTTTTTATTTGTTTATTTATTTATTTATTTTGCATTTTTAATGTACATTTTTTAGAGCATGTCTATAAATAATGCAAGAAAAATAAGGAGAGAAAGATTGTTCAAGATAAATGAAGTTGTCAATTGTCCAACATTATTTTTCTTCTCTTTTTAAATCATAAAAAACAATTTATGTACGTGTATGTGTATCTATATTATTTCTTAGTTGGTACTCACACAGTTGTCTTTTCTGTAACATGAATCCTTGACCTTCCTTTAAAAAGTAAGAGGTCGATACTGCCAAGTCACTGACCGTTCGTTATGTGTATTTATATGTATAAACGTAGTAATAATATGTTTTTGCAATTCTGTATATATAATAAACATAATAATAACAATAATAATAATATGTTGTAACAAAGAATTGCAACACTTCTTTTTTTTTTCTTTTTTTTTTTACCATATTTGAAAATTTAAAAGCAATATTAAAGACTTTGAAAGGATGACAAGTATTTTATTAGCAAACCACATTCAATTACCATACAAGCACCTTCAATTATCATACATAGTTAACTACAAATGAAAATTTTAAAAAAATTTGGAAGGTCAACATTAATTTTTCTATACAAAATCACCATTGCAAACTATATATATAAATATTTACCATCCATAATATTTTTTTTTAGGGGGTGGGGGGAGGCCTCCCCTCGCCCCTCTTGGCAGTTGTGGAAGGTTGCAGTCAGAAGGTGGTGATGGCGGTAGCGACGGTGGTGGAGGTAGTAGAAGGTGGCAGTTGTGAAAGGTGGCGAAGGGTGATTGTGGTGGTGGAAGGTCACGGTGGTGGTGGTAGCAAAGTATGATTGCGGCAGTGGCGGCGGTGGTAGTGGTGGTGGAGGTAACGAAGTGTGATTGTGTCGGTGGTGTCAGTGAAGGGTGATGGTGGCAATGGTGGAAGGTCACGGTTGCGGTGGTAGTGGTTGGTGGTGGTGGCAACGATGGTGATGGTTGAAGGTCACAGTGGAAGGTGGTGATGGAAGGTGACAGCAGTGGAATGGATAATCAATAAAAAATATAAGACAATTTTGTTAATATATGAAAAGTACATGGACAAATTAATAAAATAGCAAATTTATCCTTTAAATAAAATGGCTTCTTAAAAGGAGGTTTCAAAGTAATACTTCCCTTACTTCTTTGAAATGGGCTTCTTAGCCATTGACTTTTCGAAAAATTCCTTTACATGCGTGTAACCAAACTTTTTTCAAACTTGAAAAGGCACTGTGAGTTGAAGCTCGCCAAACAAGGCGGCAGAGCCTTTCATTTTCGGCAAAAGAATATTTGGTGGGACAACTTAACCCTTAACCCTCCGAATCTCTTTTGCTATTATTTTTTTAAAAAGGCCTTAGTACATTAAACCACTTCTGGAATTAAAGGTTGCAAAATACCCTTTTTACTTTTTTTGTTGAGTAACAAACATTCACCATTTACCAACTATAACAAATTACACCCATTTGGCTAATTGAAGACCAACTGAAGTTAATGTATGATATAATATTACACAAAAATTCATATATAATGAACTTAAAATAAATAAATAAATAAATAATTGAAGCAACAAATGCATCATCCCTATGACCAAAAACCAATTCAACACACCATAACTCAATTCCCAATTTCCAATTAACCTAATGACACCGTTAAGATGAAAACAAAGACGAGAAGAATGAGAAGCATAGGAAAAAAGGTTTTTGTTTCGGGTTTCCAATCCATCATAAGTGAGTTTTCTTTGATTTTTCAATCTTACTAATTCGAAATGGGGTATTTATTTATTTTCCTATGAACCAGGCCTGCTGATTGGGAGAGCCTTCATCTTGAGCACTGTGTGTCGAAGTAGTTCCATTGCAGTAGCTCCACTCGCTGGGTCAAAATGTAGGTTTTTGTTTAATTTTACATCATACCTTAACTCTAATTAGCCAACCGTTAGCTAAACGGGGTATTTTGCAATATTTTAAAACTAGAGGGGTTTAATGCATTAGGCAGGGCTTTCAAAAAAATTAGGAGATTGGAAAATAAATGATAACAATTTAAAATGAAACTTTCATAATACCTAAAATAACCTAAACAGTTTAAAGAAATATATATATATATATATATATATATATATATATATATATATATATATATATATATATATAAGAAAGATA